TTTGGAGATAGAGACCAGGCAGATTATGGTTCAAGGCCAGCCAGACAAAATAAGTAAGACAGCACTTCTCAATCAATAAGACTTGCATGATAGTGAGCACCTGAGTCCTCTGCTACAGGGGAGAGTATAGGTTAGAGGATTGCCATCTGGGGCAAATGTGAGACCCTTCCTGAAGTAATAACTAAGCAAAAAGGGGCTTGAGTGTAGCTGAAGTGGCAGAATGTAACCATGGGGCCCTAAATTCAAAACCCAATACTGTCTGTCACACACACGAGAAAATCACTACTTGTTTCTGCTGGGATGGAGCACTCCCTTTTTGATCACTCCTGGCCAGTCCTGTCCTGATTACAAGACAATAGGTTTGGGAGAAAAAGACAGGACACAATAGTTGGAGAACTGGTAGTCGGAGAGCTGGAGTGATGGCTGGGCTGTGCATTGTGTGGCAAAAAGAGTCTGGGAGAGTGTGGTAGGCAGAAACCACATGGCTCATTGAGCAGAGAGTTTCAGGATGGCAAGGCGCCACTGCTAGTGAGGCCAAGGAAGGGGAGGGACCGGTGGGCAGCAGTACTCCTGAGGCAGTCCTTTCTCTGAGGAGGCCCTGTTGCTGGCGTTCAGGCTAAAATCACGACTAGGTCTCATCCCAGGATGGTGACAGAGGACCTCATGGGAAGTCCCAAGAACAGATCAGAAGGCTTAGTTGATGTGTTTCAGGCTACTTGTTTGCCCAAGCAGAGGGGAGAATGGGTCCTGTTCTCTCATTATCTCTGATGGTAGCTATGGCCTCACGTCCAACCTGGGAGATTTTTGTCCTTGTTATCACTGGGCCCTTGCAAAGGGTTCTTTTATCTGTAAGATGTTATATAGAGGCACTATGCTAAGTAATCTACCCATTTTACCTCATTTAAATCTCAGGAATTTCTACCTTTGTTTAGAAGTAGGAAACTGCTTCCCAAGATATACTTGCACTGCTCACTTGCCTTCTTGAGGTCCTAATCAAATGATACCTTCTTACTGCAGCTGCCCTTGACCATTTTATTTTATTTATTTATTTTGGGTCCGGTCGTGGGGCCTGAACTCTGGGCCTGGGCACTGTCCCTCAGCTCTTCAGCTCAAGGCTAGTGCTCTACCACTTTAGCCACAGCGCCACTTCCGGCTTTTTTCTTTTTGCTTATGTGGTGCTGAGGAATCGAATCCAGGGCCTCAGGCATGCAAGGCAAGTGCTCTACCACTGAGCCACCTTCCCAGCTCCACCAGTTTATTTTTTAACTTACACTTTCTCCTTTCTCTGCTTTATTGTATTGAACAGTGCTTGCTATGATATCTGACATGCCATTGAATTTCTTACTGTCTATCTCCCCCTCTCCTAAAATGTAAGCTCCATGAATAGGGATTTTTGACCGTTTTGTTCGCTGCTGTTTCCCAGTATGTAGAACAATGCCTGTCACATGGTTGGTCTCAATAAATAGTTTTATGAAGGCATGAATAAGAATCAGGTGTGTTTAATAGCTTGCGGGAGGTGGCAGTTCTGGACTCAGTCCAGGGATGTCTGACCCCAAAGTCGATGTATGGCTAGAATCAGAGGGAGAAGGAGTTGAGAGATGTGGGTGTCACTTAGACTGTAAGACTTGACTGCTTAGAGTTGGGCTTGAACTAAGTGGTTGACATGAACACTCTAGATCCTGAGTAGCTCCGCTGAGGGCTGGGAGCTGAATCTGTGTTTCCTCTCCACTCTGAGTCACGGGTAAAGCCAGAGCACCCTTCCTTATTTTTAGTGCTACTGCTGTTGTAGGGCTGTAACCATTAGCCAATAAGAGACTTAAGAGAGGAGATAAACATTAATCTTCTGGGCCTTCCCTCAGCTGCCACCTCCGCATTGCAAGATGCTGTTCTCCCACACCTGCCTGGCAACCAAGCCCAAGAATTGTAGGTCAAGGGTGGTGAGGTGAGTGGTCAAAGACAAGGATCTATGTGATCAGAGATGGATCTATGGCTTGGGGGCTTTTTACCAAGTCCAGGACTGGGAGGGAAGTAAGGTTGCCCTGACATACGGACAGACCTGGAAGAAGCAAACTCCTTCCTTTATGCCACCAAGCTTTATGTCTTAGCTTACGGAGAGTTGGAACTTACCTGTAGTTCTCCTAGCTACATCCTGGTCAGTGGTCATGCTGAACCTAAGAAAGGGAAGCAAAGTCTGACCCAGATCTTTGGGCAGCTGGGATGGATTAGCTGGGCAGCAGGAACTAATCTCTGCCTGTTCTCACCTCCTCCCATTGCTATTGCTAGAGGAAAAGTTTGGGACAAAGCTGGGGATAGTTAGTGAAACTTTTAAATGTGAATTCCTTGTAGTGTATAATCCATACATTATCTCAGACTGACAAGTTGAGGTTGGAATTCCAGGGCCGTGCCTTTCCTGCTATTGAACCTTGACAAGTTGTCTTCCCTAGGCCTGTTTCATCATCTGTAAAATGGGGCAATTGCAGCACTTACCTTGTAGGATCATTGCAAGAGTCAGTAGATTTTAGAGCTCTTCAGTGTTTTGGGTAGAGGCAGGGTGGAGAGAAAACCCTCCCAAGAGAAGTGTTGGGTTGCAACTAGACTCTTGTTCTCCTAAATCTCAAGGCTTCACTCTCACTTTCCTTAATTTGGACATCATGGCACAGTGCTGGAGAAAGGGTACCAGGCCCCAAACATCTGCATCCACTTCCTATCTATGTTACCATCAGCAGTTAAGCCTCATTTTCCTTATTTGTAGGGTAATACAGCTAATCAGATCTCTTCTTCACAGACTTCACAGAGCTTCTGTAAGAATAAATTACAGTAATCCTTGCCTTCTGCCTGACTTGTAAATGCCTAGTAAGTAGTAGTTCTTACTGCTACTGTTGCTCTTGTTAAGCACTTACTGAGCCCCTGTTGATGGAAAGAACTCTAGGAAGTACTAACTTAGAAAGTCTCCACACTGAAAGAACTTGTGACTGAAAGGTAGCTGTTGTGATATATGATGGGCAAAGCCCAATGGTGGGCGATGGGAGGAGGTCACGGTCAAAGAAGGAAGAAACCACCCTTTGCCGAGAGGAAAAGGAGAGGGAAAGCTTTATGAAAATGTGACTTTGGCAGTATTCCAGCAGGTGGAGTTAGAAAGGCAGAGTAGGTCCTACTCTCTCTGAGCAGCATTTTCTCTTAATTCCTAGAGCTCTGCCTTCCTGTGGAAGGGATTGACCTCTGCAGCTCACTTGGATATGAAGACTCTTCAGTTTCTAGTCATTTCTTCAAACAGTAACCCTAGGGTCTGAGTGCAAAGAAGTCAGAACTCACAGCAATGACTGGTTAGGATACTGCTAGGGAGAAGCAGGATTTGTAGCCTGGATTCTCTTTCTGTAAAATGGATGTCATAGAAGGGCCAATGACAAGAGACAATGGCTATGTGGTATAGAAGTGAATCTTCAGTAGATGTTAACTGTATTTCAAGTTATCATTATCTTGATGATCAAGATCTTCATTGTCAGCATCATTATATATTAGGGTTGCCAAGAGGACTATGTAAGAAAATAGATGCAGAACTCCTAGCATAGTGCCTGGTCATATACAAAGCTCAATACAATTTAGCTATTGCGCTAATCCCCTTTATTCTCAATTTTGCTTCCCAGAATTTCAGTTACCTGTGTCAGCCACAATCCATACTTCAGGAAGTCTAGAAATAAGCAATAATAAGTTACTGAAGTTACAAATTGTATGCTAAGTAACATGATGAAAATTTTCAACCTCCTGCTTCATCCCACCCAAGATGTAAACTGTTGCTGTATCTAATGTATCCATGCTGTGTAAGCTACCTACCTGTCTATTAGTCACTCAGTAGCCTTCTTGGTTGTCAAATTGATTGGCTCACAGTATCACAATGCTTTTTTTGGGGGGGAGGGGTCCAGTCGTGGGGCCTGAACTCTTGACCTGGGTGCTGTCCCTCAGCTCTTCAGCTCAAGGCTAGCACTCTACCACTTGAGCCACAGCACCACTTCCGGCTTTTTTTTTTTCTGCTTATGTGGTGCTGAGGAATCGAACCCAGGGCCTTAAGCATGCAAGGCAAGCGCTCTACCACTGAGCCACCTTCCCAGCCCCTCACAATGCTTTTATATAGAGTTGGATATTAGCTGGAGTTTCAAGTATGCAAATGGGGTCTTAGAATGTATCCCTTTCAGATAAGTTAGTGCTTCTAATAAGAAAGAGGTGCTTAGCCAGGTAGCAGTAGCTCATACTTGCAACTAACTACTCAGAAGGTTGAGATTTGAAGGTGGTGGTTTGAAGCCAACCCAGGCAGAAAAGTCCATGAGACTCTTATCTCCAGTTAACAAGTAAAACTCTGGAAATGCAGCTGTGACTTGCATGTCAGCCTTGAGTGAAAAGCTAAGTGATTACAGTGTCATGGTCCTTTACTTTTCAAGTCCCAATACCGGCCAAAAAAAGAAAAGGAAAATGGTTTTCAGCACTCTGATCCTATTAAAGCACTGATAGAGGAGATAGTGCACCAGAGTTTGAGCTGAAGTCATGGATTTGAATTTGGGTCTACCACTTATTGACTTGGGGTGTATGTCCTCAAGTTATTTCCTTGTGTGGGAAAAGTGTTCATAATAACTGTTTCCAGGGGCTGGGAAGGTGGCTCAGTGGTAGAGCGCTTGCCTTGCATGCATGAGGCCCTGGGTTCGATTCCTCAGCACCACATAAGCAGAAAAAGCCAGAAGTGTCACTGTGGCTCAAGTGGTAGAGCGCTAGCCTTGAGCTGAAGAGCTGAGGGACAGCGCCCAGGCCCAGAGCTCAGGCCCCATGACTGGCAAAAAAATAAAAATAAAAAATAACTGTTTCCAAAATTCTAGTGATTTGCTGAATTACTTTAGCCAAAATTGCCCAAAGTGCATAAGTTTGTGCTTAAGAACTGAAGGAATATGAATATCCATGTGATCACAGATAAAATGGATAGTTGATGACTTTTCTTTTTTTCTGTTTACTTCTAGATCACCAGAAATTAGAGCGTGAGGCCCGGATATGCCGACTTCTGAAACATCCAAACATTGGTAAGTGCCCTGCATAGAGTATTCTGTTGTTATTTTGTGGAAGGCAGCTTTTATATGTGAAGTTACCTCAGTTCATAAGCCTTCACCTGATTTCTTGTTTTGCAGTATAGTAGCTATGTTGTAGAACTGTAGAATTTTCTTATTTACAAACCTGAATAACCCCACTGCTGCAGTGCTATGTCAGGGCAGGGATGTGAGGCATTTGAATAGAATTCAGACTCCCTACTTCCCTTTCTCCTTCCATCTTCAGCCTGACATCCAGGACCCTCAGTGTATGAGGTTCTGGGCATCCAGCCTACCAGTGTCCCTCACCAGGGGCCATCCACAGCCTTCATGAGAGGCTCAGGATTTTGTTTTTCGACCTGAAAGAGTTTTGTCCCTGTTGCAGTGTCCTGAACACTCTGGGGGTTTCCATGGCGCTCCTGTTTGTATTCTCCAGAGCCAGGAAAGCAAGCTGCCTGCCTGACTTCTCTGGGGAAGGGGTAGCAGGAGCTGCTTGGATAGGGAAGAAGAAAAAAATCTAGAGGATTTCTCCCCACTCCCACCCTGACTGGGGGGACAAGAGCACATTGTTAGTTGTTCTAAAGCCTGAGGAGGTTTGCCTGCCACAACCCACTCTGGCTCAGTTTTACATTGTTCAGCTGAAATAGTCTTTGCCAAAAGTGTTGGCCCTGATTTGGTGCTCCTTACAGAAGGGACAGAAACTGGGCTGGCTGCAGTGTTTGAGCAGAACCCCCAGTGTTGACTTGAGGCAGAGCAGGAACCATCTCCTAGGTTTTCCTGAAAGCCCTGAGTCATCACAAAAGACAACACGTGTTCTGTGCTCCTCAGGCATGGCCTAAATATCAGGGCTCCCACAGTGCCCCGGAGGCCGCCTGTTCTGCTCAGTTGGTGGCCAGGACTGTGAGGCAACTTGCTGAAGCTTGATGCTGCCCCCGGAGCTTCCCAGCCTCTGGCTCCCCAGGTCTCAGAAGGCTCAGTGTGAGCTCTTCGGTGGAAGAGCTAAGGTTGTACTCTAGCCCACAGGGAGGGGAGCAACACTGAGGTAACCAGAACTCCAACCATGCAGGGCTTTATAGATTGCAATCAGCAGCTTGGATTACACCCGAAGCAGATTGGCATAGCCAGTGCTTGGCTCTACACAGTGCAGTGTGTTCCATGGAGCCAGCACCTCCAAGTCTGCAAGTCCTGGTCTTAAAGCTGCTTAAAGCTGCGAGAGTTCCTGGTGATTTCTGATGTTTAGACCTTTCACCTAAGAACTTACCTTAGGTAAGAGAAGGCCAGTAAAGAAAAACACCTAAAACATTAGTAACAAATTCAGATGTATTTTGTTTGGCTGGCACAGTGGTCTAAAATTTTTTTTTAATTATTTGCCAGTATTTAAAAATGAGATTTCAGAGCTGGATGCTCATATGCATCTATAATCCTAGCTACTGAGGAGGCTGAGATTCGCAGTATTGAGGTTCAAGGCTAGATCAGGCAAAAAAGTCCATGAGACTACCTCTCCAATTAACTAGTAAAAATCTGATCTGGAGGCATAGCTGAAGTAGTAGAACTCTAAATGAGCAAGCAAGTCTAGTGAGCATGAGGCCTTGAGTTCAAGCTTTGAAACTGCCAAAAATTTTATTATTTTTTAAAAACTCTGTTTCTCAGCTTTTCGAACCAGATGGTTTGGCTCTAAAACCACACACCGGCTTAGAAGCTTTTTGGTGTTCCAGTCCCAGCTCTCAAGTCCAAGGACAATAACTTCCTTTCCTTTGTGCCTCTTGTAGCCAACTCATACAACAGTTATGCATTGTCCTTCTAAGGAGATCTAAGGGGTAGAGTCGGGGTTGATAATAGAGGCTGACCTACCTCTGCATCACATGAGTAATGGGGAAGGTTGACCACAGAAGGGTCAGGGTATAATAATCATAATTGAGAAACGAATGGGAGGGGCAAAAGTGAAATGCTAGCAGAAAGATATCTTAGCTATCTTTTTATGTCTTTCTAGAGCTAAGCAAATACTTTGTGACCTCTTAGATTTACTCAGTTTGCTAGGTCTTTCCTTTTACCACTTGCTTCCAGCTCAGAATATAGACAAGTCTCTGTGCTATTAGGTAGGCAGCAGGTCCTGAGAAAAACAGACATGGCACGATCAGTTTGTCAGCATCAGAACTGTGTTTCTGTTTCATGTCTGCTCCCAGGTACTGAGCAAACTTGGTCTGTAGACCAATTCTGTAGTCTAGGGCAGGCAGGATTGTGTTCTGGGAGCACAGCTGGCTTCTGGTGGAAATCAAGACTCTTGAAGCTGTGGCCAAGTTGGGGGGTCCAGGACGCAGGAGTTGCCTTGGATGAGGTTTTGTGCTCCTAATTTGATATTCTTCCCTCTCTCCATGGCTGTGTCTTTATAAGCTCTGGCCCTTTTGACTCTGACCTTTTAAACTCTATCCCAAAGGGAAACAGGCATACTAGCCCCAGAATGGTTTATAGATGAGGCAGCTAAGAGATCATCAGTCTCAGGCTGCTGTCAGACTCGGAGCCTCTTGAATTCACAAGGGATATTTGGTACAAGGTTTAAGGCACCCCTAGTTCTATCTCTAGTATCTATTCTGTGCAGAATTAAGATCCTACTGGAAGAGTGAACCCTAATGTAAACCATGGACTTAGGGTAATGATGTGTCAGTGTAGGCTTATTGATAATAAAAGATGTACCACTGTTGTGTGGGATGTTGATTGTAGGGCAGGTATGCATGTGTGGGGAGGGTAGTATATGGAAAGTCTCTGTCCCTTCTGTGCAATTTTGCTGCAAATCCAAAACTGTTGTAAAGAAATTATTTTAATTAAAAACAAACAGTCTGTTAGGTGTAAGGTACACTGTTGAAGTCAAACACCCCTGGGATAGTGGCCAGTGGTGAGGAGAGGCGTGGAGTGGAGGAGCTGTGTAGAGCTGGTAGTCTGAAGTCTGAATGGAGTACTTTCTACCTATGATCTGCTTGCTCTCTGCTCTAAATTCCTCTAATGAATAGACTCTGTCTTCCTCCATGCTGAGCTGCCCCAGCAGTTTCGATCACAGTCTAGCGTTGTGGTTTAAAGCAGCACTTCTTGAACTTTTATGTGCTGATGAATCAGACTGGGATAGTATCAAAACACAAATCCTGATTCAGTAGGTCTGGGGGAAGGGCTGAGATTCTTCATGTCTCACAGTCTCCAGGTGATGTTAATGCCACTAGTTTGTGGTTGGTACTGGAGAAGCCCAGGTTTGCGGCTTTGCGGTTATGCTCACTGGGTTGGATTTGGGATTTTGTAGTTAAAAGTTGTGACCTTTAGCAAGTGACTTAACCATGTGCGCCTGTCTCTGTTGTCACCTGAGTCCCTTCCTGGAGCTGCAAGGGTTCAGCAAGCAAAGGAGTCTAGGAAATGAAAATGATGAAAATGAAAATGGAGAGTCTATAACACTAAACCCCCAGCCTGAACTCAGTTCATAAATTATTCAACACAGACTACCATCTACCTTGGGCCCAGGGCCCATTCAGCTAACAGTAAATGTAGCAAAACCAATTGCTAAGAAAAATGAAACACTGAATCATGACCTAGCTTTTCCCAAATCCTTGCCTCTAGGTGAGGAGTTCTGCCACATCTGGCCCTTGGGGTTTAGGCCAGTCCACCTCAATAAGCCCTTTTAGCAACAGGCCTCTTTCCCACTGTTTCAGTGCTGTGGACAGTTTTTTATTGGGGACACTTTCTTAGTGTTTTTTTGTGTTTTAGAAAGATCTGTTAGAGGGCAGACTGTTGGGTGGGTTTTTGTTGTTGTTGTTGTGGAGTACTGTGGCTTAAACCTAGGGTCTCATAATGTGCTGGGGAAACACTGTACAACTCAAGCTATGCCTCCAGCACTGTTGGGGTTTTTAAAGAATTGGAAATAGCCATGACATTTATACTGTGGACTTCTTAGGCTTGAAGGTGTGAAATATCAAGAAAAAGTATTTACGTGTTTTTAGCCTGTCCTTTTTTCCACTGATTTTTTTTTTTTTTGTCGGTCTTGGAGCTTGAACTGTGGGCCTGGGCGCTGTCCCTCAGCTCTTCAGCTCAAGGCAAGTGCTCTACCACTTGCACCACAGTACCACTTCTGGTTTTCTGAGTGGTTTATTGGGGATAAGAGTCATGGACTTTCCTGCCTGGGCTGGCTTTGAACCGTGATCCTCAGATCTCAGCCTCCTGAGTAACTAGGATTACAGGTGTGAGCTACTGGCACCCAGCTTCCACTGATTTTAAAAGAGTAGTAATAAGGTTTATTCTGAATTGCAGTAGTATTTTATATTTCTTTTCCTAGACCATCTTTTCTATGGACTTGGTCCAGGCCTCCCTGCCTTGTCATTACTATGGAATGGGCTGAGGGAAGATTCAGATTATTTTATTCCACACTTCTGTAGCAACCTTTACTTCTACTTTATAGCTTGTGATATAGTTGTGCTTAGTTGCATATTTGTGCAATTGCTGTTTAATGCCTAACTTCAGTACTAGCTTCAAGCCTTGAAGCTTCTTGGTGGCAGAGCCAAACTCCTCTTCTTTACAGCCATATAAACAGCCCACTCCAGTGAAGTTGCTCTAATGGACACCGTCAAGCCAATCAGAGTGAACTCTGGTTGCTTAATGGATAGATAGAGTCATTCCCTAGTCATTTTATGATAGAAGAATATTGATGTTAGTTTCTCTTCAAGTACTAGTTATGCTGCTTAGTATAAATTGGACTTTGTTTGTTTGTTTCTCTCTCTTCTTTGGTAGTTTGAAGTCAGACCTCACATTTGCTAGGTTGGCTAAGTCAAACTTTTCAGCCACCACCCCCCCCCCCTTTTTTTTTCTTTTGCTGGAACTAGGGCTTTGGAGTCAGGGATCTTATACTCACTCAGCTTGCTTGCTCATGGCTGATGTTCTACCCCTTGAGTCCTACTTCCAACCTAGCGTTTTGCTGATTAGTTGAAGATGGGATCTTGCAGACTTTTCTTTCCAGGTTATCCTTGAACAGTGATCTTCCAGGTTTTAGCCTTCTAAGTAGCTGGAATCACAGTTGTGAGCCATAGGCACCTGTGTCTACAAGACTCCACATTGGAGCAGCTTAAGTAACTAGTATCCAATAAAATAATGCGTGTGGTGCAATGCTTGGCATATAGCAACAGCTCAAATAAATTTTAGTAATTACAATTTTGATAATTGTCATCAAGAATCTACCTATTGGCGCTTAGAAGGCACAATCAGATTTATCTTCTTGTCCTTAGTACCCTGTAAATTTATAAATTGGAATGAAAAGCTAGCATTCTTATTCAATACCCCTCCCCCCTTGTCTTGGCATGTTGGGCGCCTTGCTCTGGGCATGTGTCAGAGGCATCAGGGCTGGGTGGCCTGAAAGGATTAGTCTTACTTTGCTGCTCTTCTAATCCTCTCCCACCTGGGCTCTGTGTGTGGCCTTCCTGAAGAAGGGCAAGCGCCAGTGATTCTGTGTCTGGGCAGAGGCCTGAGTATCTGCGCCTCTGGCCCTGTTCTCAAGCCTGCAGTGCTGCTGGGGTAAACCTAGTGAAAGGGATGTCCATGTGAGGCAAGGCTCAAGGCCAAGCCTGGCAAGGTAGGGCACCTGGGCTCCCCTGGGAGTAGCTGTTAGCAGCCTCCTGATATCCTGTTGGATCACCATCCTGCTGCTGTTAGTCAGCTCTCTAATGAAGCTGGTCTGGCTTCTGGGACAGCCAATTTCTAGGGGATTATTTGTATTACACACTTTAATGCTTTTTAATAGCAAATTTTTAATTAAATGGAAAGTCCTTTTGGAAGTAAGGGAGCAGCTACAGTAGGACTCAGCATGAGGCACCCACTGAGACCAGAGAAACTGAGTGAAGAGGGAGGTAGCAGGGCTTTGGGGAGCTCATTGAGCATGCCAGCCTAGGGGGGGCGGGAGAGCAGCAGGGATCTGGCTGTAGCTCCTTCCTTCTATCCTAAAAGCCCTTCCTGTCATTTGTAGGCTGAGGAGTAGGATTGAAAAATCAGATGGGATCAAATCAGGTAGGCAATATGATGTGTAGATGGTCCTTAGGCCTTGGATCCAGTCCTGGCAGCCCTCTCAAGTCCTCATTTGTCACGTGAGGAGAACAAGGGGGCTGTGGTGATGGTTCATTGCCTTGTGGTCCCTGCATCATGTATTTTGCATTCTCGCTGATCTTGCTGCTGCAGTGTGGCAGGGATATAGGGAAGTACCTTAGCTCTTAGGAAATGCTCTGGCACTAGAACAGGGAGCAGCCAAGGAAGAGATACTGTGATTTCTTTGTATCTGAATACTTTACCAGTTGGTTTGGTGTCAGGCCATTCCTGAAGTGCTCCCGGAGATGCTCCTGTACTGATGAGGACTGGAGCAAAGGTCAAACAGAGGGGAGCCCTTTGGAATAGAGGTTCTCCATCAGGACAGTTCAGTTAAGGGAGGGACAGGAACACTGGAACAGGCAGCCAAAGCAAGTTGTGTTTGCATTACAATGATGCTCAGGGATTGGCATCTAACCCAGAAATGGCTTGAAGAGGAGACCTCAGAAGACATTAGGTTGGTCTTTTGCCCGAGAGCTTTGGAGGAAGAATTGGGAAGGGATTCTGCTTGCCAGCCTTCCTTGCACTTGGTGAATTACCCTACAGCCTTCTCCAGCCTCTGCCTTCCTGGACCCATCCATGATGCTGTCATAGGTACATTTGTGATCAATCTCTTCTGGGCTCCGTTGCCTTGCTACCTAGTATGTGAGCTGCTCTTCCTTTTTTATAGGATTCAGTGGAACAGACCAGCCTTTGGAGTTAGAGAAGCCTGAATTCTTTTCTTGACCTACCACTCTGTAGCTCTTTGAGCAAGAGATTTTTTTTCTTTTTTCTTTTTGTCGGTCGTGGGGCCTGAACTTTGGGCCTGGGCGCTGTCCCTCAGTTCTTCAACTCAAGGCTAGCGCTCTACCCACTTGAGCCACACCACTTGAGCCATAGCACCACTTCCGGCTTTTTCTGCTTATGTGGTGCTGAGGAATCGAACCTAGGGCCTCATGCATGCAAGGCAAGCACTCTACCCCTGAGCCACCTTCCCAGCCCTGGCAAGAGGTCTTAAATCTCTGAGCCTCCACTGTCCTCTTCTGTAGAATGGGAATCTCATTCATCACAGAGCAGTATAATAAACTCCTTGACTAAAAATAAATAAACTCCTTGAAGGCAGGCACTACATCCCTCTGTTCCTCCTAAATGCCATCACCTAGCCTGGGGTCTGGCAGATGGCAGTGCTCAATAAATGTTTATAGAATGCGTAACGTATGTCAAGAACCTAACACAAGGCCTGGTGTATACTAAGCACTTGAAAATCATTTATCACCTTTGTATGGATGTGCATGTGGCCTCTTGGGCTCACCATTCACTATCCTGCTCCTCATCCCTTCCTACTGGGCTCTACCGTTTACCTTTTTCCACTTCCTTTCGTCCTCCTGTTCCCATATGCTCCTCAGAAGGAGCCCTGGGCTTTCCCAGCTTGTCATTCTCATGCCTCGCTTCAGCATTGCTGGGTATTTCTTAGTCTGTTTTACTGCAGTGTGTTGTCCCAGGACCGCTTTCTCTAGGTCTAACCCCTCTAGGAAGATTCCTATACTTTTTTTTCCTCCATCTTGATTTGCATCTTAGACATGAAACTTCTAGTTCTTGCCTGAGATGGAATGTGAGCACTAGTCTCTTTCTATAGTGACTTGAGTATGTGACTTGAGAGGGGTGGTGTCAGGCATATTGTCTGTGGTGGCTTCAGGAGTGTGCCTGGTGAGGCTGACAGGATGGAGCTGGGGTGGGGTTGCTAAGGAGGACAGGATTTCCCAGTTTTCTCTCTGTTAATCTCTGTCCCATCTCCTCTCTTGCAGTACGCCTCCATGACAGTATTTCTGAAGAAGGGTTTCACTACCTCGTGTTTGACCTGTAAGTGCCACTTTCTGAGGGTGTGGGGGCATTTCCCTCCAGCTGGCTCAAGGTGAAAGCTTGGGTAAAGGTTGAACTTTTTCTGGAAATTGGGCAGGTTGCCAGCCCAAAGCCCCTCGTTTTCTCCCCAGAGCTCCACTCCCAGGATGCCGTTGCATTTGCATTTCTCTTCTGCAGTCCAACTTGTGCATATGCTTTTTTCTTGATTTGTGGTGTGTTGTCCTTAGTGGAGAAATAAAATAGAGCTCTTTGCATGACCTGAAGAATTCTAAGAGATTGAGGGTAGCTTTTAACTGGGCTCCATTTGATCTCTCTTCCACTTTGGTTGTTCTTTAACATCTAACGAGTATGTCTTTATCTCCTGGAAACTCCTCTCCACTGTTGTCAGGGTTGGGTTTCTGTGTCTTTGGTCTTGTTATTCTTCATGGTTAGTAGTGAGTCTGTCCTTCTTGGACAGCTAAGTGTTAGTGTTCATATTGGTCTCAAACAAAACTAACTTTTAGGGTAGGTTGGATATTTTCTTCTATCTCATAATTGCTTGATTGTTAGCTAATCTGTAGGGTGTGGAAACAAATGTCAGGAAAGAAGGGACAGCCTGTGCATGTACTGCAAGGCGCCTATGTTGCTGAAGGATTGAGCATGTTCTGGGCTCTCAGATGAAGCACACTTGGCATTTCTCTTAAAAAAATGTTTTACAATGTGACTTTGTTACTGGTGGATGCTGGGGTTGGCTAAGGGACCCTTGCCTCTCTGACCACTTCTGCTGTTGGTTGCAGTGTTACAGGTGGAGAGCTGTTTGAAGACATCGTGGCTAGAGAATACTACAGTGAAGCAGATGCCAGGTGAGATGAAGGCTTTGTTGTTCCAGTGCAGCTCTGATTTAGGATCACAGTGTGTCTTGGCCACCTTAGGAGGCCAGCATTATGTCTTATTTGAGTAGTTTTGGGAAAGATGAGCCAACCACTTGTCTGGACCAGATTCTGTAGTGCTGAGCTGCATTCTGTGGACAATATTAGAAGTTAAAAAATTCAGCACCCACAGATCAATTTCTTTCAAAGCCCATTCCAAGTCACCTCCCAAAATTGTATCTTTCCCTTGTACTATTATGTACTTTCATGGCCAAGGGCTGTCTCTATGTCTCTTGCAAATCCTAGTATGTACAAGCCACTGAGCTGAAGTCCTGGGGGTGAACAGAGAGGGAGAGCATTGTTTCTATCATGAAGGAGTAGGAACTGGGGAACCTCTTTGGAAGTTTTTAGCCTCTTGTCACGTAGTCCCTTGACTACCATGACTAGCTTCAACAGGAACTCTGCTGGTTAGGGACTATTCTCCAGCCTCATACCTCAGAGGTCAGCCATCCATAGAAAACCTTGTGGCTCCTTCAAATGACACAGCAGAATTCTACTCTACCACAGCGCTCAGGTGATTGTTTAGCCTGCATTTCCCACCTCGACTTTCTCTACCATCCCTCCCCTCCTTAGTCCCTCTTCTTTCTGATAGTGATATCCTTAGAACCTGGTTTTGATCATCCTGCCTGCAGCTTATCTAGCTTATGCGGTGGCTCAGGCTGCCTCTGGAGAGTGGGGGAGTATAGCTTGCTCACGAATTTCTCAACCCTGAGTAGCCAATGTTTGCTGATCAACTTCAGATGCTTCAGCCTCAGGAAAAATTCTCAAGTGGGGAGATGAATTCCAGTGCCAGCAGGGGAGGACCAGTCTGTAGGAAGAAGGAGGCAGTGATAGCTCAGGGAGCTTGGCGGGGAGAAGGGGAGGCGGTGCTGGGGAGGGACTGTACCAGTGGGCTTGGCCTGGCTCTGCTGGGACACTTCGCACTTTTGCCATTTTTGGCCAGAAGGCTCTCCCTACTAGCCGGGCTCTGTTCTAATTATACATTTCTGTGGAGACTCGCCTCTGCAGCTCAATCTTAAAGTCCCTTTGGCCCGTTCTTGGGTTTTGTGCTATGGGATACCCTGAACTAGGATTCTGATAAGACTCCTTGGCTCTTGTAGGAGCCTTAGCACAAGAGTCTAGAGAAAGGAATCAGAAGTCCAAGCCACCCAGACTTGACCTAGATTAGATACACTGCAGACCTGCCTAACACTCCTAATGTGATGTACTAGGTACCTAGTACTAATGACTGAGCATCTGTTCTCTAGACCAGATGTTCTTTCAACATCAGAGTTACTGACCCTTAGTTTGTTATTGTTGTGAGGGCTTCTCCTGTGCATGGTAGACACTTAGAGCCTTACCTGGTCAATAGGTGCCAGTAGTATCCTCTGTATTCCCCAGTGTGTGATGACCAGAAATGTCATGTCTCCAGACCTTACAACTAGTGTTCCTTGGGGGCAGACTCCCCTTCCCCAGCTGTAAATTGTCCACCCTTTCTGCCAGAGTTTGACTGTAGGGATGGCAGGAGTGTTTTCAAGGTGGACCCCGTTTTAAGAATCAGCAGCTGAAAATAGGCTCGGTCAGGGGGCAAGTACTAGCAAGAGTGGGTTGGGCTAAAAAGGAGGACAAAAGAATGAATATGGTTGAAATAGATTGTTTGCATCTATGAAAACAACAATGAAACAGTTTTGGGAAGCAGGGAAGGAAGAGTGATGGAGGAGGTGAGATTGATTGGAATATATTGTAAATGTGTGAAATGTAACAATGAAATCCCCCTCTGCATAACTAATGTAAGATAATTTAAAAAAATGAATCAGCAGCTGAATGCAACTCTAGATTAGGTTGTCTTTTTCTGTGCAGTAATGCTCTTCTGGTACCATTTAGAATCCATTAGGTATATTGTTTCTGAAAAGAATTTATGTGTTTGTTCTGTCTTCTCTAATGATAAAATTCAGGGTGGCCACTATGCCTTATTCATCTTTACATCCTGTGTGGCAACAAGCACAACCTGATACAGTCACTCAGGATATGTTTAAATAAATGAAAGTGTACACCCATCCCAAAATCAACTTAGATTGCTTAGTTAGACTCTCCTGCCTAAGTTGTTGCCATAAGCTTTTTCTCCAAGAAAAAGTTACTATATGGAGAAAGAGAAATAAAAAAGGGAGTAGGTGGCCTCACTTTTCTTAGACATCTGGGATGCCTTCCAGTGTCTTGGAAACAAAGTGGGTTATGTTGGACCTTTGCAGTGAAAAGAAGCCATGGTGGATCACTGTTCTAGTCTCTCCTCTGCCCTTTAACAGGTCTTCACTTCCCTTTTCTGTAAAAATAAGTCTTGGTAAGGATGTGGAAAAAAGGGAACCCTTATACATTGTTGGTATTGTATATTAGTACAGCCATTTTTGGAAAATGGTATGGATGTTCCTCAGAAACCTAAAAATAGAATTACCATATGATCTAGCAATCTCACTACTGGGTAAGTACCCAAAGGAATGGAAATCAGTATTTTGGAGAGATGTCTGTACTCCCACATTCATTGCAGCATTATTCACAGTATCCAAGACATGGAAACAACCTCTACATCTATCAACAGATGAATGGATATTTAAAAAGTGCTGTGTACTATTCAGTCTTAAAAAAGAAAACAAACAAGACAAAACGAAACAAAAACAAGAAATTCTGTCATTTACAACAACATGGATTAATCTGGAGGATTTATGTTAAGTGAAATAAGCAAGCACAGAAAGACAAATACCATTTCACTAACATGTGGAATCTCATAGAAGTAAAGTAGAATGGTGGTTACCAGTAGCTGTGATAAGGATGAATGGGGAAAGGAAAGGTGCTGGTCAAGTTTTAGACCCAAAGAGAAAATTCTGGCACTCCATTTCACTGCAGGTGATATTAGTTAGCAATAAGGCATTTCAAAGTAGCTAAAAGAGGATTTTAATGCTCTCACCGGGAAGAAATGATAAATATTTGAGGTGAAGGATATGCTGATTATTCTGGTTTAACATCGTATTTTCCCCTTACAAGTAGATACAAATGTTTTTCAAAATAAAATACAGCTTGAGAAGTTGTAGAAAACAAAATGACTTGACCTAGATGAGGTCCAAGGCCTCAGTAATTTTCTGAACTTGTGACCCTATGCTTTTGGTTCACAGCATGTGGTCTTAGGTGAAGTAGTTTAACATTGCATTGACTGTCCTTTTCCTTCTGCTTTATTAGCCACTGTATACATCAGATTCTGGAGAGTGTTAACCACATCCATCAGCATGACATTGTCCACCGGGACCTGAAGGTACTACCCAGGCCCCCTTCTTTGCTTCCTGCTTGTGACATATTGGCGCCACCTGGTGCCAGGCATCAGTATTGTGTGGGCCCAAAGTAGGCTCCTTTTGGGTGCCTTACAAGGTTCTCCCTGTTCCATCTGCAGCCGGAGAACTTGCTGCTTGCAAGTAAATGCAAGGGTGCTGCGGTCAAGCTGGCTGATTTTGGTCTGGCCATCGAAGTACAGGGAGAACAGCAAGCTTGGTTTGGTAAGAGTGACCCTGTGGCTTCCCAGAATGCAGCCCCCACCCTTCCTCTTCTTCCTGATCTGTCTTCCTCTTTCAGAAATAGAAGCCAGAACTTTAATGGTCCTGGTTTCCTCGGTGAGTGGAGGAGGGTGGGAGTGTGCAGATTGCTCCTGGCCTTCATGACTCAGTACAGTGAGTCTAGCTGTTGTCAGGATTGCATTCTTGCTGCCTCTGGGGAGGTGTTGAAGTTCCTGGTAGGCACATGGACTAGCCCTCTGATTTAGATTCCAGACACTACAAAAAACCTTCCTGTCATCTCTTGCAGCCTGTGTGCTGAGAGCTTACGTAGCAAAAGCAGCAAGACTGAAAAGGGCTTTTGGAATAAATTGTGGATGTGGGCTAACTGAAAGTAGGCTCAGTGTGCCTCTGCCCTCTCTTCTGCTACAGGTTTTGCTGGCACCCCAGGTTACTTGTCCCCTGAGGTCTTGAGGAAAGATCCCTATGGAAAACCTGTGGATATCTGGGCCTGCGGTAAGCCCATTCCACACTCCACATTTTCGGTGTTAAGGGCTCTCGGCTTCTGGTGATGGCAAGAAAGAGGCATTGCTCTTCCTTGTAGGTTCCACAAGTGCCTGCTATATGTGAGATCATGGTGTTCGTTCTTGTCCCCCTGGGAGGGCTGTTCTCATCACACCCTCTTTCCTAAGTAACTTCCTGGATTATGTTGCATCCTTCTTGGAGAGGGATTTGCCCATGCCTTGGAGGCTAGATTGTGCCTAAAGAAATCTCTGATGTGACTTAGTAATGGGAAGAGTGAGGCACAGCAGGAGGGGCTGGCGGAACAGCATTATCAACTGACATCCATCTCTAACTCTGGTTTGGCCCTTGCCTTTCTGGGTGGCTCTGAGCCCTGCATGGCCTTTCTTGGTTCCTCGGGGAAGTAGGTGACTGACCCCAGTGACTTGTGTGTTCTGTCTCGTAGGGGTCATCCTGTATATCCTCCTGGTGGGCTATCCTCCCTTCTGGGATGAGGATCAGCACAAGCTGTATCAGCAGATCAAAGCTGGAGCCTATGATGTAAGGATGGATTTTCTGAGAGCTAAGCAAGTACCCTGGGAAGAACAAATTTCTTATCCCTCAGGCTCTGTCCAAGGGAGCGGGTGTGTTTATTGTGTCACATGATACAGAGGATGTCAAGGGACTTTGAGGACCCAGGGATAGACATACAGGACTCACTATTGCCACCCTATGTGCAGGGAGCAACTTTTTTTTTTTTTTTAACTCTTCTTCCTTTTCTTGCGGGCAGGAATCATCTTGGTAGCTATAAAGTTAAATAACTCACTTAAGTCCTTTGATCTTTACAAAGAAAGGAGAAGCCACAAGGTGTGCTGCATCACACAGGGAGAAGTCTGGAGTCTCCCTCCACTACAGTGGTACCTTGGGCATACAGTGTACCCATTTTCTCCTTAGTAGAGAGATCAAGTTGAAATAGAAAATGTTGGGAGTCCTCTTCCTGCTCTTGTCTGGTACTCTAGCATTCTAACCATGACTGTTCTGTTTTTCCTTTTCTAGTGTAAGTTTACATAGGTTCTAGGATAGGCTCAGGTTTCTCCAACTCTCTATCCAGAAACTTTGGTTACCACAAAGTATCCCAATTATAGGATTTGGGATGAAAACAGCCTACATTTCAGGGTGTGGGTTCACATGTGTCATATCCTTCCTTCCCCTGTTCCTGCTCCTTAGTTCCCATCACCAGAATGGGACACGGTGACCCCCGAAGCCAAGAATTTGATCAACCAAATGCTGACCATAAACCCAGCAAAGCGCATCACAGCTGACCAGGCTCTCAAGCACCCATGGGTCTGTGTAAGTGTCTTTGCCCCAGGTCTTGGGGATCAGAGGTGGCAGTTCCCCAGTACCCTCAGTGCCTCCCTTACACTGCTTTTTATCAGCAGAGAGTCATCTGGTCCCTAACCAGAGTCAGGGAGAATGAGTGGAGGCCAAGGTCAATCAATGCCATTTGGGAACTCAGGGAATCAGAAAGGGCCAACAATTTTTTTTACTTGCCTTTACCCCCATTTTACTTGCCTTTACCCCCATTTGCTGTTGTGAAAGACTGTGATTTAATTGTGTGATTTTGTTTATATGGACTTTTGTTTGTTTGTTTTTTGGGATGGTCTTTAGCTTGAACCCAGGGCCTAGGCACTGTCTCTGAGCTCCTTTTGCTCATGGATAGCACTCTACCACTTGAGCCACAGCGTTACTTCCGGCTTTTTCTGTGATTTATTGGAGATTAAGAGTCTCACAGACTTTACTTTCCTGCCTCACCTGGCTTCAAACTTCAATCCTCAGATCTCAGCCTCCTGAGTAGCTAGGATTACAGGCATGAGCCATGGTACGTGGCTTGATTTAGGGGTTTGTTTTTGTTTTCTGGTTTGTTTGGTTTTTTTTTCGTCAGTCATGGGGCCTGAACTCTGGGCCTGGGTTCTGTCCTTTAGCTCTTTAGCTCAAGGCTAGCACTCTACCACTTTGAGCCACAGCACCACTTCCAGGTTTTTCCACTTATGTGGTGCTGAAGAATAAAACCCAGGGCCTCATGCATGCAAGGCAAGCACTCTACCACTGGGCCACCTTCCCAGCTCATTGATTGAGTTTTTTTGAATGAGGACTTGTAATGGCCCTTGCAGACTGGGTAGTTGATGATAAAAAGCAGTTGGCAGAACCTAAAGTGAACTCCCAAGTTTAGGGCCTATTCAGTCTCAACTATCATATAACTCTAACAGAACTGTGACTGGGACCCAAAAAATAAAAGATGCCTCTGAGCTATTAAAACAGAATTCTGGGGTTGGAGCTGTGGCTCAGTTGGTAGAGCACTAGCCAATGAGCAAAAACATCAGATATCATGTTCAAGTACCAGTCTTCAACCCCCCCCCCCAAAAAAAAAAAAAAAAAAAAAAAACCACCAAGCATCCTGAAGCTGAGTCATGAAGCTTCTGTGCTGAATCCCTAGGAAAGATGTTGTTTGTACTATGTTTTCATACACAAGTCAGTCAAATATCTACTTTTGGACAAAGAGGGTCTAGTTAGGTATTTTGACAACCATGCTGCATTTGTTTATTTGTTCATTCTTGTGTTTACTGAATGCCTCTTTGGTGCTGGTTATTATGGGATATTGGAGATGCAAGGCACAGGCCTTGCCTGAGAGATCCGGCCAAAAAGGACTTAAACAGGCAACTGTAAAACAATGTGATGAACATAAGAAAGAACCTAATAAGTGTAGGAGTTCCTGCTGTCCTGGAGGTCTGTAGTGTCACAAAGGTTATATGGAGAAGATGACCTAGGTTTTGGTTCTTAGTGGATGAGTAAGAACTCCCTAAGCTGTTACCGTGCAGAGAGAAATAAGCATGAGCCAGAGTGAGAGGCCATGGGAAATTGTTGAGTGTAAGGAATGTTAAGTAGTTTGGTTGTCAACAAGGCTGTAACTATAGGAATGTTAAGAGAATGGGGCCAAAAAGAGTATGACATACAAATTTCTGCTTAAGGAGTTGGGTATTTTATTCTCAAAGCATGAGGAACCATTTTAAAAAGAGTATGAAGTTTGTATTTAAGAAAGATTACTTTGGAGGCTGTGTAGAAAATAGAATTGATGAGGAGGCAAGAGAAAGGCAGAGAGGGGCTGGGAAGGTGGCTCAGTGGTAGAGCGCTTTCCTCACATGCATGAGGCCCTGGGTTTGATTCCTTAGCACCACATAAGCAGAAAAAAGCTGGAAGTGGCACTGTGGCTCAAGTGGTAGGGTGCTAGCCTTGAGCTGAAGAGCTGAGGGACAGCGCCCGGCCCAGAGTTCAGCCTCCACAACCGACAAAAAAAAGAGAGAGAGAGAGAGAGAGAAAAAAAGGCAGGGAGCTGAGAAAGCTGTCTAAGCAAGACAAGATAAGGTCTCAGCTACCAATAGAGGTAGTGGGTAATGTGGTAAGTAGCAAATTCAAGAGATATTTAGGATTTAGTGACCAGTTAGATTTGCAGAAGGAAGGGACAGACACAAACAAGAGGAGGAGGAGAAATATGGATGTACACATTAGAAAAGAAGGCTCTAGAGGTATACTTAAATTGTAGAATGCCACCCTGGCAACTCTGAAACCCTGAGTTCAAGTTCTAGTAGCACAGGGCTGGGAAGGTGGCTCAGTGGTAGAGCGCTTGCCTTGCACGCATGAGGCCCTGGGTTCAATTCCTCAGCACCACATAAGCAAAAAGAAAAAAGCTGGAAGTGGTGCTGTGGCTCAAGTGGTAGAGCGCTAACCTTGAGCTGAAGAGCTGAGGGACAGCGCCCAGGCCCAGAGTTCAGGCCCCACTACCGGACCCAAAAAAAAAAAGTTCTAGTAGCACAAAAGAGAGAAAGAGAGCAAAACAAGAAAAGGACAAAAAGTTGGAAATGCAGGTTATCATTGTTCTGTAGGTAATCTTGCCAATCAAGATCCTTATTGTACAGAGTCAGGCGCTGGTGGCTCATGCCTGTAATCCTACCAACTCAGGAGGCTAGATTTGAGGATCGCAGTTCAAAGCCAGCCCAGGCAGAAAAGTCCATGAGACTCTTATTGCCAATAAGCTACTCAGAAAATTGGAAGTGGCACTGTGGCTCAAGTGGTAGAGCGTAGCCTTGAGCTGAAGAGCTGAGCGACAGCGTTCAGGCCAAGAGTTCAAGCCCCATGAGACTCCTTCCACCCCCCCAAAAAAGGAAACTGGAAGTGGTGCTTGGATCAAGTGGTAGAGTGCTACCCTTGAGCTGAAGAGCTGAGGGACAGCTCCCAGGCCCAAAGTTCAAGCCCCACAACCGACAAAAAAAAAATCCTTATTGTGAGCTTGTGCTGTGAAGAGAAGAAAAAGCCACCAAACACTAGCATTTAGGGACAGTGAGAATTACAGGACCTAGCAAAAGGGACTGAGAATAACTTTCATAGTCGAAGAAGATTCAGAATCTAAGAAACAAGCCTCGTAGTAATCAAAGACTTCAGGAGTCTGTGGTAAAGATGGAAAGGAAGGGGCTGGGAAGGTGGCTCAGTGGTAGAGCACTTGCCTTGCATGCATTAGGCCCTGGGGTTTGATTCCTCAGCACCACATACACAGAAAAAGCCGGAAATGGGTGCTGTGGCTCAAAAGATGGAAAGGAACAACCAGACTCTACTAAATGAGAGGCCGTCGTTTCATTTCACTAACAGTGAGACAAACCTGCTTTCCAAGCAGTGAGAAGGAAGTGTGGCTAAGGTTTTCTAAGGAGCTAGGCAGTGAAGGGGAAAAGAAGTTAGTACACCCTGGGGGACGAGGATGTATTGGGGAGCTTGCTTTATTTTTGTCCTCTGTGTGTGTGTGTGTGTGTACATGTATGTGTACACGTGCACACCTGTGCCAGTACTAGGGCTTGAACTCAGAGCCTCGATACTGTTCTTTATCTTTTTTTTTTTGCTGGTTGTGGGGTCTGAACTCTGGGCCTGGGCGCTGTCCCTCAGTTCTTCAGCTCAAGGCTAGAGCTCTACCACTTGAGCCACAGCGCCACTTCCGGCTTATTTTTTCTTTTTGCTTATGTGATGCTGAGGAATGGAACCCAGGGCCTCATGCATGCAAGGCAAGCGCTCTACCACTGAGCCACCCTCCCAGCCCCTGTTCTTTATCTTTTTTACCCAAGGCTAATTGCTCTACCACATGAGCCACAACTCCATTTTTTGGCTTTTTTTTTTTTTTTTTTTTGCCAGTCCTAGGACTTGAACTCAGGGCCTAGGCACTGCCCCTGAGCTTCTTTTGCTCAAGACTAGCTTCTACCACTTAAGGTACAATGCCACTTCCAGATTTTTCTGTTTATGTCATACTGAGAAATTGAACCCAAGGCTTCATGCTAGGCAAGTACTCTACCAGTAAGCCAAATTCCCAGCCCCTGGCTTTTTTTTGTGATTGAGAAAAAAGCCTCATAGCCTTTTCTACCCAGGCTGTCTTTGAACCACATTCTTCAGATCTCAGGCTCCTGAGTAGCTAGGGTTACAGGCTTGAGCCCCCAGTGCCTGGCTGTCTTTTTATTTAAAATTTTTTTAATTAGCCGGGCGCTGGTGGCTCACGCCTGTAATCCTAGCTACTCAGGAGGCTGAGATCTGAGGATCGAGGTTCAAAGCCAGCCCGGGCAGGAGAGACCGTGAGACTCCTATCTCCAATAAACCACCAGAAAAAAACGGAAGTGGCGCTGTAGCTCAAGTGGTAGGGCGCTCGCCTTGAGCTGAAGAGCTGAGGGATAGCGCCCAGGCCCAGAGTTCAAGCCCCACAACCGACAAAAAAAAAAAAATTAATAAAATTTATTATACATATAAATTAATGTTTTATAGTAATATAAATTATATTTTAATGCATAGTATTGCGATGATTTAGTAATCAATATCCCTTGCCTCTCTAACTTCCAGTAATCACTGTTCTACATTCCATTAAACTTTATTTCTTTTTTTTTCTTTTTTTTTTTTTCCAGACCTGGGGTTTGAACTCAGGGCCTGAGCACTGTCTCTGAGCTTCTTTTGCTAGCACTGTACCACTTGAGCCACAATGGTACTTCCATCTTTTTCTGTTTATGTGGTACTGAGGAATCGAACCCAGGGCTTCGTGAATGCTAGGCAAGCACTCTACCACTAAGCCACCTCCCCATCCCAAAACTAATCAACTTTTGCTTTGTTTTGTTTTTTGAACTCTGGGCTTGGGCGCTGTCCCTAAGCTTTTCAGTTCAAGGCAAGCACTCTACTTGAGTGACAGCACCACTAACTTTGTTTCTTTTTAATTTCCACATATGAAAGAGAACATGCAGTACCTGTCAGTATGGCTGGCTTATTTTACTTAATGTCATGTCCTATAGCTCTGATGATTTTTTTTTTTTGTCGGTCTTGGGGCTTGAACTCTGGGCCTGAGCACTGTCCCTCAGCTCTTCAGCTCAAGGCTAGCACTCTACCACTTGCGCTACAGCGCCACTTCCAGTTTTCTGGTGGTTTACTGGAGATAAGAGTTTCACGTACTTTCCTGCCCAGGCTGGCTTTGAACCGTGATCCTCAGATCCTCAACCTCCTGAGTAGCTAGGATTACAGGCGTGAGCCACTGGTGCCCAGCTAGCACTAATGATTTTTAAGAAGCTTAAATAGAAGTTTGCAAAGCACTTACAGCTCTCTGCTGTCTCTCAGAGTTCAGAATGTGAACTACAGTGAGTATTTGGTAAACAGTTGCCGAAGAAGTAACTGAACCAGGTCCCAGCACTCCGGATATTCTTTCCCATCCTCAGCCACCTTTGCCCAAGGAAGATTAGAAGAAAGCTTTCTCAGCACACTCATCTAGCATCTGTTATTGGTGGTGGTTTCATATTCACGTGTCCCTATATAACCTTGAGTTTGGGATAGTGCTTTTGTTCTAAAAGTGTTTTTTGTGTCTGAGACCTCCTTTGAGCTTCAGAGCAACTCTGTGGTGCCAGAGCACATGACCCTGTCCTCAAGTAATCATTAGTGCCAGGACTAAGGTAAAGGGTAGAGGACCTGGGCTGGGGTCTCACAGGTCTTTGTGTTTGGCTTCCAGCAACGGTCCACAGTGGCCTCCATGATGCATCGCCAAGAGACTGTAGAGTGCTTGCGAAAGTTCAATGCCCGGAGAAAACTGAAGGTGGGTCTTTTTTTCTGGACCATTAGCCTCCTGAAATGTGGCCTTCCAGCAGTGCAGTTCCTATCTTTTCAAGAAGCTCCCATCCTGCTAGAGCTGAGGGCTATTTGTACATTTTGGGGGGTAGGGGCAGAAACCTGAAGGGTGGGGAATCTCACCTAAAAGCAGCTGCTTTTGCCTGAGGCCATGCTACTTTTACTAACATTCAGTTGAACTCATGAGACCTTCTTCTTTCCCCAGGGTGCCATCCTCACCACCATGCTTGTCTCCAGGAACTTTTCAGGTATGTGTTCCCAACTATGCAATTTAATTCTGCAGAGGTGAGTGGGTCAGAAATGGAGCCCAGCAGTCCCAGGCAGCACAGATGTGCGCATGCACCTCGAGCAGGATGAATAAGGATTTCTGTTTTGGAGGGCTGCTGCCATCAAGTCCTGATTCTAAGTCCTGTTACTGAGATTCTTTGGTGGGGGGAGGCTTCTGTTGGAGCTCAAATGTATGAATTCCATTCCTTAGAATCTCCCATAAAGTATTCTCCACCTCCCCTGTACCTTGTCCCTGTATATTCTTTCTTATTTCAGCACATTATGATTGCAAACCAAGGCATTGGAGAATGTGCCGGAAACAACAAAAAGAATGAGGTGCAGTGGTGCCACCCACTAGGATGATTTCTTACTTCATGTTGTCCAAGCTGAGATGCCTAATAAAAGTTATTCCAGGACTTTAACCCTTTTATAGTGACCCACACTTATGTAATCTTTGTGATACTGGCTGTAAAAGTGAAGAAACAGAACCCAGCAGGTAGGATGAAAAGGAACTGGCTTAGATATGCAAGAAGAATTATAAGAGTTGTGATCAGTAGTTTGTAAATCACACTTGACATTACTTTTCAAGATGCAAGACACTCCAGTCCCCCTTTGCCCCATTTTTACCCCACTCCCAATCATTGTTTGCCCTCAGCTGGGAGCACAGTGGCTTTTCTTTGAGGAAAAGGTAAATGATGTCAAGACTTAACTAAAGGCAGAGTGGTCTCTCCCCAGCTTGCTGTTGCTCCTGGTCTTCCTTCCCTCTAACACTCCCTCGCTGTTTTGATTGAAGACTCCCTTCCTGACTTCATCCTCTTAACAAAACTCCCTTCCCTCGCTTTCCTACTGTGCCGCATGGAGAAGGGCTTGTGCGGGAGTACCAGCCTCCAGTTAGGGTGAGCAGCCACTCTGGGCAGGGCTTGCTTCCTTGAGTCCCAGTGAGCTCGGCTGTGCTGGTTTACTGGTTCCAGGTAACCCAAGGGCCTTAGCTCAGAGGAGCCTGCGGAAGGAAGTCCTAACGCTTCACTGGCTTCCACTGGAGAGCTAAAGGGCTCCAGTGTTAGGACTGAATAGTGAGTTCAGAGGTGCCCATCCCTTGTGACCCTGGTTTGAGGGTTCATTCTTAAGTTGTTGGTGGCCACTTAGGAAGATTGTGCTCCTGAATCTTCCTTTCTCAGAGGGGGAGAGGAGTAGGTGGTTGGCCACTCCCACAGAGATGGACTTGCAGGCCCACATTGTGTTACTTATCCTCTAATTACTTAAACAGCTTCTACTTTCTCAGTTTAAGAACCTTTCTAGCCAGGCACTGGTGGCTCACACCTGTAGTCCTAGTTACTCAGGAGGCTGAGATCTGTGGTGCAAAGCTAGCCCGGGCAAGAAAGTCCGTCAGACTCTCATCTCCAATAAACCACTGAGAAAACCGGAAGTGGTGCTGTGGCTCAAGTGGTAGAGCACTAGCCTTGAGCTGAAGAGCTGAGGGACAGCGCCCAGGCTCAGATTTCAAGCCCCGCAGCCTACAAAAAAAAAAAAAAATACTTTCTAGAGTATTATGTTTGAGGGAGTTTCTCTGCTGTACCTAGAGTGGTGCTTGTTCTTTCTCCTCTTATCATAGAAATGTGAAGACAAGCTTGTGCTTTTTTTATCCTGACCAATTAGTAGCAAGTATCCTGTCTCATGGCCTTGGGTCTCCAGGAAATCAGTGTCCTGGTTTCAGACAATTGAGCTGTTCAGACAATTGGCTGTTAGGACAGAGTACTAATTTATCCTATAGATCATCCTGTCCTCATTACCCAGACCTTGTCTGGTCTTTGAGCTCACTTTGCCCAGGTCAAAGAAGACCAAAACCCAAACAAACCAAACCAGTGCATTTCAGAATGGTCGACCTCTTCAGGCCTAGAGAGGACAGAGCCAGTCTCCATAAGATTCCTCAGAAAGAACTATCTACAGGTGTAATCAAGGACATACAGGAGGCTAAGATTGGAGAATCAAAGTTCAAAGCCAGCTCAGGCAGATAAATCTAAGCAATTCTTTATCTCTAATTAACTAGTAAAAAGCTGGAAGTGGAGGCATGGCTCAAGTGGTAGAAAGCCAGCCAGCAAAAAAAAGGAAAAAAAAAGAGCAAGAGCATTCAAGCCCAGTACCTGCACAAATAGGGAATGTAGTTTAGTCCTGGATTGTAGTAGCTTGGCAAATGATGAAATCAGAGCTTCTAGAACCCACAACTCTGGCACCTTCTGTTTTCTTCCTGGGGACTAATTTCCTAGACATCATTACCCTTAGTGCACTTGTGAAATACAGGCTGAGAAAAACTGTCTCTCTTGGTTACCTTCCTTATGAGGGAGAGTGACCTGTGTCTCTCAGGAGCTGGGCCCATCTATAAGCATGGTTGCGCAGGGCCATAGGGTCTCCTGTGCCCCAGTGCCTCTCTACTATTTGGAAAGTGTTAAGGGAAAAGGGCTGCTCTGTGCTCCAGGCTCTTGGATAATAAGCTCATTTAGGTTGTAGGAGTGAAGGTCTGATGAAGCTCAATGTCCTTCCAACCTTAAGTAGATCACCTCAGAAAAGGTGCCTATTTCCCACCAAATCAGGCTTTTCTCTGGGGAATCTCACCAGAGGCGACCATGGGACAAGTACTGAAGCCATCTCCACAACGTAAAGGCGTGGTATTCCCTTCACCCTGTCCAAGCCTGATCCTCTCAGGTCCCCCAGACTGCTGCAGGGCTGGCTGCTCCTGCCATCTCAGCCTGCCCCTTGGCACCTCTGCTCCCCAGCTCAGCTGGCTTGGCCACTGCCACCTGGGTCGTACTGTGTGCGGCAGCCAGTGGTTCCCAAGCATCGTGCTGGGGCATGCTCGCTGCTGTCTGGCCCCCCGTGGCTTTGCGGCAGCTCTGTGCACTGAGAGATTGTATCCCCTCAGTTGGCAGGCAGAGCTCCGCCCCCGCCTCGCCTGCCGCGAGCGCCGCCGGCCTGGCCGGGCAAGGTACGTGGCATGAGTCCTCCCTGACCGCCTGCCTCGGCTCCCTGCCACCCCACCAGGAGGGCCAGCATGCTAGGCCCACTCACCAGGGAGGCCAGTCCCATGCTTGCGGGCTGAGATGGGCATGCCAGATGGACCACCTAACTTGGCATCTGCGAGCGCATTGATGTTCCAGAGCCCCCTAACCAGCCGTGCATGCTGGGCGCTTGCCAACTCTCAGGAGGCAATAGCCTGGGGATGTGGAGCTGGGCAGTAGGAGCCTTTCCTTCAGATGGCCTGTGGGCCTGACCTGCAGAGCTGCCCAGTGCTAGGGCTGGACTTCTGCAGCACTGCTTAAGACCCCATAGAGGGAGGAAACCATGCCCCTCAAAAATTATTAAGTCTATGCTTTCAGACTCCCAGATGAAAGGCTATGGCGTGCAGAAGCCTCAGAACCAGCTATCCCTGGGTTTGGATCCTAACCCTGCCACACCAAGTCCCCTCAACTCACTCAGCCTTAGTTTCCTCATCTCTGTAAGGGGAATAACAACGTGATTTTTTTTTGTTTTGTTTTAAAGATGATATATGTCATAGGTTTTCAGCTCTGCCTGTACAGAACAACCAATTACCTGGGAGATCATAAAGATTCCCAGTGCTTGCTTGAGGTGGAGGTGTGGCCCAACTGGTAGAGTACCTACCTAGCAAGCTTGAGACCTTGCATGCAAACTTCAGTATCACACACACACACACACACACACACACACACACACACACACACAAAATCTCCCAGTGGCAAGCCCTATCCCCACACCAGACAATATAAGTCAGAATCCTTACTGGATGGGATAGGACTAGCATTTTATAAAGCTCTGCAAGTGATTATACTGAGCAACCAGAGTTGAGAACTGGCTGATGTCTGTAAAATCCATAGGCAATCAGACTCACTATCGTAAACACATTAAAAAATTAATTTTTAACTCCAATATGACTAGAGATAGAAAAAATTTTGGAGCCAGACTCTTGAGATGTCGGGGAGAACCCTGACAGAACCCCGACATCTCACTAGAAAAAGATGGAACACAGGTTAGGTAGGAAAGACGACTTGAAGAGCGAAAGAGCAGCAGCAATAGAGACATCCTGGGTTAACGAGTATTTACGGTGGCCAGACATTGAGCTAAGTGCTTTGCAGGTATGGCCTCACTGGATCTTCACCAGTTGACTGGCTTACGTTCTGATTATCACATTCTATAAAGAAACCAAGACTCAAAAAGGTTAAGTGACTCACTCAAGGTCACAAAAGTACCAAGTGGTAGAACCAAGATACAAACCCAGGGCAGTTCAGGCCATTCAGACATCTGGGCTGAATCTCTCCTTATGCCCCTCAGGCCTCTCCTATTGTCTGCTACCTTCCTAGAGCTGTTATGACTTTGCCAGTGCGGCTTGCCAGTGTCACCAGCCTTTGGGTGTGGAGTTAACAGCCTTGAGCACTCTATGACTGGTTAGAAGCTGTTTGACAGCTCATCACTCTGTTCAGTCCTTTCTGCTCAAAGGTCCAGAGAGTCTGGCAAAGGGGTGACAGCTAGCACTTAGTAAACCTAGTGAGGTCCTGCCCAGTGAAGGCTTCAACCCCCTGGCAAAACCCTCCTGTAGGTGGTCCTGGTTTCTGTGTCTGTGTCTGTGTGTCCTCACGTCTGGTTTCCTTTGTGAACTGTGAAACTGTTTCTTGAGAACACTTTGGAGATGTCTTGCATCCTTCCAGTGTGGCATCTGGAGAACGTCCGTGGCATCTAGGGATATGGCCCTCACCCTTTCACCCTGGCACTCTGCTTCCAGACTGGGTGGAAGCTGTCAAGGGCAGTGCTCCCGGTGCCTCAGGTGGCTCCAGTACTAAGTGTTGTTTCTCCTCCTAAGTGCAAGGTGACCGCTTCTGCTGAACTCTCTTCCACGGCAGAGGAGTCCCATGGTGCCGCCCTGAGGGCTCTGATAGCCTTGAGATGCCCTTCTTGCAGAGGGGATACTGAGAAGGACTTCTTTTGGGGGGCTTGGAGACCGTTGGCCCCTTGTCAGCACAGCAGTCTCTTGCAGATCTGGCTGCCTGGACCTCAAGCTGGAGAGGGGATAGATACAGGAGATAAGACTTTCCTCTTTGTTTTCACAGCTGCCAAAAGTCTATTGAACAAGAAGTCGGATGGCGGTGTCAAGGTAGGTGTGTTTCTCCTCCTCTGACGGGAGACTGGCCTCTGTCCAGCAGTTATGCTGGAGGATCCTAAGCATCTTGTTCCCCTTTTCTCTGGGATCTGTTCTGCCCTTGCTGTTCTGCTTTAAATAAGAAGCCCTTGTGCTCAGAACAGCATGTTCCACTGGTCTGAGGGAAGAAGGAAGAAGTATCTCTCCAGAGCCTAGATGGATGGGAAAACTAGATGGGTAGTGATCCAAATCATAGCTTCCTACAGCTCAGCCTGACTTCCATCCTTAGTCTTATCACTAGGGCATGACTCTTAGAGTGTTTAGGTCATTTGGCTTATTTCCTTCCCCTACCTCCATCCCCCTTTTCTTTTTTTAATGAAATAGAAGTGGTTTGCTCACTCAAGGCAAGGTATGAGGCTAGGAACCTGAAGCCACTATCTTTTTAGTCTTTTGTTCTTATCTGTAAAACACTTCTAGAACCCAATTAAGATACCACAGAGTGAAAGTGTTTTAGGCTTTTCTCAAAGATAGGCTCCTCATCTGGAGAAGGAACTTTCATGTGGGACCCTAGCAAGAGGAGGGACTAGGTGGCTTCAGGGACCAGTACAAAGCCCTGCTGGTCTTGGCTTGAAGTAAAGAGAGGTAGCTGTGGTACACTAGGAACAGATACACATATGCTTTGGAGACAGAAAGGTTCCTGGGGTTAAGCCATTGGATAGGTGTTCTTGGTGTGTTTAAACCTACCAACTTAACACCACAAAGAAGTTTAAATTTTGAAATTATCCAAAGCTTCAAATCTCCAGCCAAAGTTGAAATGGGCCTCTTCCCAGAATCTTGTACCCATAGTTGAAATATGTACATTCCTGGTTCCCCTCCCCTACCCCTTCCTCTTTCCCTTGTTCCCTATGAGTCTGCTTCTGTGTCCTGCCCTTATTAGGGGAACTTTGGTTCTGCGTATATCTGCTGATAGAGCTGGGGCAGTCCCTGGTTATGGATGTGAGACAGATATGTGGGGCCTAATTAGAGAAAAAGCAGATTTATTACTTATGTATAAATCAAAGAGTAGGTTTATTATAATTATTATCATTATTATTTTGGTGGTACTTCGGTTTGAACATAGGGCTTTATGCGTGCTAGGCGGGCACTACACTGTGCTTGAGCCATGTTTCCAGGCCTGGTTGGAGAGAGATTTGGATATTTCTCCCTGGGAAAGACGCTAACAATATGTCCATCTTAATAAAATATTTAATATGTACTTACTTGAAGTCTAGCCCCTTGCATGGTTCTGAGGTGTACACAGGACATGCAAGAGATGGAGTTTTCATCTTACCTTAGGAAAAGGTGGGCACACCTAGACTCAGACATTGCAACTGAACCTTCTGTTGGGGATGATTCAGGCCAAAAAGCTTATGGAGAAAGCTTAAGGGGTATAGGAAGCCTAAGAGGTAATTCAGTGATAATTGCTTCTAGAGTATGGAATTTTAAAGAACACTTATATTAATTTTCTATCAAGTGAGACTGTATTACTTCTGTAACCTAAAAACAATAAAACTTTGTTACGGGTTCTCACATATTGATATTCAGTATACAGCCAGAACACAGGGATACAGATAGGTCAGAAATACACCTGGAGCTAGGTAGCTCAGAGGCAGAGTATAGCAAAGTCTTGGATTTCTGCTCTTGCACCACAAAAACAAAACAAACAAGATCAGATAACTAGGCAACAGTGGTTCATGCCAATAATCCTAACTACTCAGGAAGATAAAATGTAAGGATCACAGTTAAAAGCCAGCCTGAGTTACTCCGGAGGCTGAGATTTTATTTTTGTCGGTCATGGGGCTTGAACTAAGGGCCTGGGCGCTGTCCCTCAGCTCTTCAGCTCAAGACGCTCTACCACTTGAGCTACAACACCACTTCTGGTTTTCTGGTGGTTTATTGGAGACAGGAGTCTCACGGTCTTTCCTGCCCAGGCTGGCTTTGAACCACAATCCTCAGATCTCAGCCTCTTGAGTAGCTAGGATTACAGGCATGAGCCACCAGCGCCTGGCTCCAAAGTATTATTTTTAAAATAAGACATATAAAGCTCATAATGGTATTTTTTAATTCCATAAGAAAAAAGCTAGAAGTGTGGTAGGAGTGTTTGTGTTTTTCCCACTTCCATTTTCTACATTGTTTATAACTCGTATGTATGTAAACCAGCTAATGGTTTGGATATATGAAAGGGAGAAAAGGAAAGGGAAGGACAAAGCAAGATATGTGGAGTTGAGGAGATTATCAGGCTGGCAAAGGAAGCCTGAGAAGTTTTCCAGAATCCCAGAGCTTTCAGCATCCTGCATTCCAGATCCCGTCTTCCCCTTCCCTGAGGTGTTCTGCCAAGTATCCATGAGATGCTTTCCTTCTCACTGTTTAGAAGCTTTCTGTAAGTTTAAAATACTAGCCTTAGTTTGAGTAGATAGTCTGTCTTGTGCTCTTGAATTTGGAGACCCAGGTTCTGAATAGGTATCTTTGAAAGTAGATGCTAGTGATCCAAGGTCTGTGGAAAAGTAAGAGACATATCAGAGGACAAGGTGGCAATCCTGATAGCCTGCTAGTCTAAAACAGCTTTGCATTCTGCTAGTCCAAGGCCCAGATGACCATCTAAGCCATAGGGCACAGTGGCTTACACATGTAATCCTAGCTACTTGGGAAGTGGAGATAGAAGGATCATAGTTGAAGGTCAGCCTAGGCAAAAAGCTAGTGACATTCTCATTTCAATAAGAAATGAGAGTGTGGTAGAATGACCTGTAATCCCAGCTATATGGGATGCCTGTGGGAATGATAGTGATTGAGACCACCTGGGGCAAAAACAGAAGACTAAGACCCTATTTGAGAAATAACTAAGGCAAAAGGAAAAAAAGGGTTGGGAGAATGGCTCAAGTGGTAGAGCACATGCCCAGCAAGTGTGTGGTCCTGTATAGAAACCTCAGTACTGCCAAAAAAGAAAAATATATAGTTATTTTCATAAGTACTATTTGAGCATTTGCTTAAGTATGGAGAAAAGGCATGAACCCTCTTCCATTATAAAATTTTGAACACACATACACAGTAATAGAAGTGAAGTATGGCTCTTTAAAATCAGTCTGGCATTTAAACAGTGCTGTACTTTGCTGGTTGAAAAGGCACCCAATTGTGTATGAATGAGGGCAAAGCCCTGAAAGGATGGAGAGAAAAACTGAAAGATGTGGGCTGGGAATGTGTCTTAGTGGTAGAGTGCTTGCCTAGAATGCATGAAGCCATGTGTTTGATTCTTCAGTACCACATACACAGAAAAAGTTGGAAGTGGTGCTGTGGCTCAAATGGTGAAGTGCTAGCCTTGAGCAAAAGAAGCTCAGGGACAGTGCCCAGACCCTGAGTTCAAGCCCCAGGACTGGCCAAAAAACAACAACAACAAAAACCTGAAAGAAGTCTACTAGCCTGGAAAACAACCTTACAATGGAAAAGAGATCTTGGGTTCTCTTGTAGAATAGCTCAGGAAGGAGAGAGCTAACTCAGAGACTGGTTGAGAACGTATTCCTCACAAGGCTAATGCAAACAGTGAAAGGCTTCTGCTTTAAGGCAAGGTCTAGGTACAAGTCATTCCTGTGGCCCCTGAAAATCACCATAACCAAGATTGGGACTGGTGAGTGAGTGCCCAGTCCACTCCTTACCACCCTAATTCTGTGAACCTTAGAAACCAGCACTCTCTTTCACCTGGGAAAAGCTGGAATCAGCAAACCCTGATCAGTCAGCACACTTTTGCTCATCTTATATAAGGCATTTTGCTAAGCACTGTGGAAATTGCAATGATATATAAGATGTGGAACTTTCTTCAAAGCAAGTGCATGCTATTTAGATAAAGTAATAAGACAGATAAGTGGAAAGTAAGATAGGCAATAGACAGGATTTATCTCTTTGAAGGCTAATTTTGGAAATAAAATTCCATCATATATTTGAGTATACTCAAAAAGACTAATGTGGAAGAGGTCCAATTATATTTAAGCTTTTCTTTTTTTAGTCTCTAAATTATGGACTATTCATTTTAACGTTTACAGAGCCATTCTATTGGCAATAATTAGTCCGTCCGGCTCCCCCCCGCCCCCAGCTTTGTTTTTGTCCTGGTATTGAGGCTTGAACTCAGAATCTCATACTCTCATTTGGCTTTTTGCTCACAGCTGGCACTCTATCACTTTAGCCATGCTTGAAGTTCCATCTTTTTGCTGGTAAATTGGAGATAAAAATGTCTCAAATTTGTTTGCCCAAGCTGGCTTCAAACCCCAGTTCTCAGATTTCAACCACCTGAGGAGCTAGGATTATAAACTAGGATTATAATGTCTGGTTGGCTCTGTACTGGTTATTTTTGAGATAGGGTCTCATTTCCTGCCTGGGAAGGCACCTGGACCAAAAATCCCTATTTTAGGCTTTCTGTCTTGACTGGGTTGACACACAACCATATCACACAACCACACCCAGCATCTCTGCATTGAGATGGAATCTCATAGACTGAGTTGGTCTGGAACTTCAGTTCTCCCAGTCTTAGCCTCCCACATTGCTTAAGATGACTGGCATATGCCATGGCATCTAGCTGTAAGTTGAGAAGGGATCTCAGCCTGAGCTGGCTTTGAACTGCTAACCCTCTGTTCTCAGCCTCCCAAATTGCCAGGATTATAGACATGAGCTACAGCACTGATTTTTTTTTTTTTTTGCCAGTCCTGGGGCTTGAACTCAGGGCCTGGGCAGCGCTCTGAGCCTTTCTCTGCCCAAGGCTAGCACTCTACCACTTGAGCCACAGTGCCACTTCTGGCCTTTTCTGTTTATGTGGTACTGAAGAAGCAAACCCAAGGAGGACTTCATGTATGCAAGGCAAGCACTCTACCACCCAGCCCAGCACTGAGATTTTTTAAAGTAGAATGTTAGCCCCTTGAGAGGAGAAATGACTTCTCAGACATGTTTATCATGCCTAGAACAGACCTCACTAAGTGTTGTTGGATGTCTTTAAATGAATATACAAAAGTCAAACACTAGACAGGCATATACCCAAGGGACTTCTGTCTCCCAGTGAGCTAATTACACCATATATAATTAGACTCAGTCTACTGAGGTATATATATATTTTCTTTCTCTCTTTCCTTCCTTCCTTTCTTTCCTTCCTTCCTTTCTTCCTTTCCCCCTCCCTCCCTCCCTCCCTCCCTCCCTCCCTCCCTCCCTCCCTCCCTCCCTCCTTCCCTCCCTCCCTTCCTCCCTTCCTCCCTTCCTTCCTTCCTTCCTTCCTTCCTTCCTTCCTTCCTTCCTGCCTTCCTTTCTTTTTGTCAGTACTGGGACTTGAACTCAGAGCCTGGGCACTGTCCCTTAGTTTGTTTACACTCTTGAACCATACCTCTATGTCAGGCTTTTTGCTGGTAAACTGGAGATAAGAGTCTCACAGACTTTCCTGTCCGTGATCCTCAAATGTCAGCCTCCTGAGTAGCTAAGATTACAGATGAGAGCCACCTGTGCCCAGCTCTCAGATATATCTTCAATGTGCCATGCAGTGCTGTTTAATGCTTTTGTTGCATATCTGAACATAGAGTCTAAGAGCATCTAGGGGATGATAAGGGGGCGTTTGCTTTGAGCTTCCCTCTCTGGTGTACTTTTACTCACCAACATTCTTGTGCACCCATCTCCCAGTCAATGTAAAATGCCATCAAACATTCAAATCTCTTAAACAAGCATGGCCATACCAGCAAAGATGTCAGAATTTAACTGTGAGATCATTTTCAAAAGCCCAGCATCTTTATCTGAGAAGCAAGTTAGAGGTCTGGTAAAGTCTGGATTCTGAAGTCAAATGTTATTACAGCCAAGAATAGTCCAGAATAGCTTCTGCTGTTTACCAGGTGGCTGCTCACCGGAACTTCAGGCAGACCTAGCAGTGAGAGAAAGTAAATACCCTCATAAATGCACTAGTTCTGTAAAACTAAACCTATAAATCTGCAGCAACCAGATGCTACTTACCCACATACACCCATGATTTAATCTCCTTAAGACACTTCCTCTGAGCAAGGCTGACACTTCTCAGAATGTACTAAGTCCATGTTTGTGAATTTGACTGCAGAGGAATTCTTCATCTCTAGGATCTAGAGGAGTATGTGCCTGTCAGTCTGTGTGCTGTTTGGAACCCTTTGGTCCTGGACTCTGGTCTCCTTCTTCTGCTTCTTTTTCCCCAATGCAGAGCTGGTGCACTAACCTGCAGTGTCTCTGTGCTTCTCTTCTTACCTCCTCTTTCCCCTTCTCTTTCCCTTTTGCTGTGGTGTGTCCAGAAAAGGAAGTCGAGTTCCAGCGTGCACCTAATGGTGAGCCTTGCCTGCCCACCCATCCGCCCACTCCATGCTGCCTGCGCCCGCCTGTCAGCCACGCAGACCCATTGTGCCATGTGCGTGTGCTTCACTCATCCTCACTGCATGTCTGTGCTGTGTGGGCAGGTGTGGCCTGTCCTGCCAGGCAGGGTCTGTTACCCAAGGCCTCTCAAGTGGCCTCAGAAGTGGGCATTGGAAGGTGTGGAATGGTTCCCTCTGCTGTGGAGGTTGGATGACCCCCAGCATCCCAGGACAGAGGGAATAAAAAGTCAAGCAGCCAGGTGCAGGCAGCTCATGTCTGTAATCCTAGCTGCTCAGGAGGCTTGAGATCTGAGGGTTGTGATTTGAAGCTAGCCCAGGCAAGAAAGTCTATGATGCCACTCATCAACCAAAATCTGGAAATGGAGCTGTGGTTCAAGTGGTAGGGCACAAAGCTGGCAGGAACTTGGAGTCTGGTGACAAGTTCAAGAAGGAGTTCTCACTCGCTGTGAGAACTCACTGTGAGGGGCCGTGCAACCCACATATATGCAGCTGCTTCCTGTAGATGGAGTCAGGGGGCAGCCATGTGCAGGCAAATGAGCTGTTCCAGACTCTGGGCCTTGCTCAGTCCCATTCTCCAGCAAGGCCCATGGTTCCATCCTGCCCATCCAACCCCAAGAGGGAAGAGCTGCAAGACTATAATAAATGTGTCTTCTTTCTCATGGGACATAGGGCACCAAGGAGAACACAGCAATGAGTAACTATGAAACCATCCATTAAGTACAGAGGTAGGACCGCTTGGGTGTTATCATGCCCTCTGCAGATAGGAAGGTTTTCTAGGTACCTGGGAGTCCTTGTCCCCTGTGTGGGTCTTGATGTCAACTAGGCCTTACAAGCAGGGCTGCTCTCCAAACAGACCTGAACAAGAAGTCAGCATCAGCAGTCAAACTCAGAGGGTTCTTTTCTCTTTTAATGGGAATAGAAGAGAGCTGTTCAAAATTTGGTCCATGGGGACCTCTCTTGTCACACAATATTTTCAGTGGCATTTTGTGTCACGTAATGCCTGGCACAGGATTCTATGCCTATCTCTGGGTTTGGTGGCATCCCAGCCACTGACAGCAAGATGGGGTGGATGATGTCAGGTCTGGTCTAAGAGGCCTCCAAGTAAGCTGTAGGGCAGCTCCGTTGCCTTCTCTGTGTGTCCTAGGAGAAAAGAAGCTATTCTATTCTGTCAGCATGCCCCATGTCCTGCACAGAGGCCAGAGCCACACATTTGTCCATCTCTGCCTGGTGAAGACAGCCACTGAGAAGCCCCTTGGAGGCCACAACTCCACAGGGAAACCCAGCAAGACTACTGCACCAGTTAGGCAATTGTAAGAGACAGAAGACATTGATGTAGCTCCCTTCCCTGGACATTGGCCTTTTCCTTCCTCACAAGCCTCTCCCCACTTCTTCCTGTCATGTTTTGAAAGACAAGGTGATAACCCTGGTGGTATGTTGACCTTAGGCACCTTGGCCTGCTAGGCAGCCTGCTCTTTCCTGAGGGCTGGGTTCTGGGACCATAGCCACAACCCTTGCTAAGGTTTGTCTTGCCCCTCATCGGAGCCCTGCCTTCATTTCTAGAGAATCAAGTCCAAGAATTATCAGGCAGGTGAAGAGCACGGCTCTGTCTTTGCTCTGTAGGCAAGTGGATACATTTTGTATCCAAAGTTGAGTTCCACCTCTTTCTTCTCTGGGTACCACCTCCTTAGGCCAGGTATTCTTGCTCTTCTCTTTTCTCTTCCTCTCAGGTCAGACGTCAAGCTGGTATTGTAAGGGGAAGGAAATGTAGCTGCCAGGTGGAACAGCTTTGTTCTACTTTCTTATAAATCACCATCCTTTCCATTTGTCATGTGGGAAGAAGATGCTGAATTTCTTTAGGTCAAGTAGGCACCTGGAAGAAGCAGGGTTTCTGGAGAGATAAAACAAGTCAGAAGATGCATCCAGAGTTAGATCTCTGAGGCTCTCCAAATATTCCCTTCTCCCATCATCTCTCCAACCATTGCTCCCATCTGCATAATGTGAACAATGGCCACCCCAGGCTTACGTCCTCCAGGCTAGGCCAGGGGGATAGGGAGGTCTGGGAGCCGAACCTGAGCAGTTTTGGTGACTAGAGAAACTAAACCATCTGTTTTCTTGTCTCAGCCACAGAGCAACAACAAAAACAGTCTCGTAAGCCCAGCCCAAGAGCCTGCGTCCTTGCAGACGGCCATGGTACCTCCTGACTACAGCTTCTCTGCCTCTGTCCCTGGCTGCCTCCTGCTCTTTCCCTCTTCCTTTTCTTGCCTTCTCCCTTAGGACTATTCAGCCCCTTTGCTTTTTTTCATTCCTGTAGAGCAGGCTGTCTAGTTTGCTGCTCCATAGGCCCCTTGCCCTTCATAGTCCCGCCTGGCCCCACTCCATCATGCATGGCACAACCGCTGTTCCTGTTCTTTGTGCTATTGGGGGGAAGAGTGACCAAGGCTCTCAGCTAAGCCTCCTAGGCCCAGGCTGTGACACACACCCCCGCCCCCCCTTCCCACCACCACCATGGGTCAGCCGTAGGGACCAGGAAGGTGAGTTGCTTATAAGAAAAGAGGGTAGGAACTTTCTTGGTACCTGTGCATCAGTTCTTAGAGGTCACTTTTGTAGGACCTGCCTCTGCCTCAGCTTCTCCTTTGTAAAGACAGGAGCAAGAAGGAAGTCTGGGATCCCCTACTTCTGGATAATGCTGGGATCCTGGAGAGCCCCTACCTGTTTTGAGTTTTCCCAGGGCTCTTCCAAAGGGCATTGTGTTTCAGAGTTCCCTTGACTAATAGTGGCTAACTAAAGAGTTAGCACAGGAGACACAGTATTGTAGTATTGTGCTTACTATGCCCCCTACTTCCTGCAGACTCTTGTGCTACCTCATGTGTGCCTTAGGGCCACCTAGGGAAAGCAAAAGGTGTACAAAGTGGGCAGCTTTCTCAGCTTAGCTTGCTGACGTGGCATTGGGTTTGCTGGGAGACCTTATTATTCTGCTCTCTGTCCCTGCCTCCATGCACCCCTTGATGACTACTGTTGGCAGGGCCCAGCCTGTGTCCTGAGTCCTGTGGCTCCTCTCTGTACATGTCCTATGCAGCCCCCACGTAGAAAGAACTCTCAGAATCAGGGTAGCAATCAGGGATAGAAGCCCTTGTCATCCCAGCTTCCCATGCACCTGTTTCTGCTAGGCCCAGTCTTTACCTATCAGTGCAATTTCTTGAATCCAGAGCTTTGCAGCTCCCTGGGGCTTTCCTTAAACCAGTATATTTTGTCTTATGGGGATGGGTGGTTGGGCTGGCTTCATTGGTCCTCATACAGGTCAGTGGGGTAAGGAGGGGTCTCTTAGGGAAGCGCTGTAGGTCAGACCCCAAGTCAGGAGGGTAATTTTTATCTTCTCTCGCAGGAGCCACAAACCACCGTGGTACACAATGCTACAGATGGGATCAAGGTAAGTGAGTGGTTTCTGAGACTGCCCTGCTTTCTGAATCAGCAGGAGGCAGGAAGGCAGGGCTCAGAATCCACAGGGTCGCCTATCAGCTGCACCCTGGGGTTGAGGTGTTCACAAAGGCCAGGCTGGAGACACTGTGGGTCTGTTAGTTGCTCCACACTGAGGAAGGACAAACTTAGCAATTTTAGGCTCAAACTCTGCAGTCTGATAGATGTGATAGTAATTCTGGCTTTAAAACTCCGAACAAATACAACCACTATGTACCTCATTTTTCTTAGCTGTGAATTGGGGATAATACTAACAGAGTCTTCATGATTTATAGAGTTTAAATGGGAATGAATGATAGCTTTAAAAAAAAAAAAAAACAAATAGCTAAGCACTGGTAGCCACATGCCTGTAATTCTAGCTACTCAGGGAAATGAGATCTGAGGATCAATGTTCAAAGCCAGCCTGGGCAGGAAAGTCTATGAGACTCTTATTTCTAAGCACTAAAAAAGCCAAAAGTGGAGCTATGGCTCCACTAGAGTGCTAGTTTCAAGCAAAAAAGCTCAAGGATAGCACCTAGACCCCAAGTTCAAGCCCCAGGACCAGTACAAAAAAAAAAAAAAAGGCCAGGCACTGGTGGCTCACACCTGTATTCTTAGCTATTCAGGAGACAGGATTGCAGTTTGAAGCTAGCCTGAGCAGGAAAGTCCCTGAGACTCTTATCTCTAATTAACCACTAGAAAACAGAAGTGGCACCGTAGTTCAAAGTGGTAGAGCACTAGCCTTGAGCAAGAAAGCTCAGAGACAGCTTTCAGACCCTGAATGCAAGCCGCACAACAAAAAGACCTTAATGAATCATTTTTCCCCCAACCCCACCACCACCACTCGGCCCTTTATTTCTGCTAACATTAGAGAATACCTATTGAGCGCCCCCTATTGAGCTCTACTTTACAGTCGTAGCAGGGAAACTGTCCACAGGAATAAGTGGGTCAGATGAAAAATCAATAACCAAATAAGTTAAAATCCAGTAGTGATAAGTGCTCTGAAGAAGGTGGCACAAAATATTGAGAGTGAACAGGAAGTTATTTGAGTATCTTGAGAGAGAATATCCAAGCTAGAAATGACACAGTAGGGACAGGAAGCAGCCAGCTGGTCTGTGGGACCAAGTGCCCTGAGCAGAAGGAGCACAGGTACAATGGTCGACCTGTACAAGAGTTAGAAGAATCAAGCAGAGCTGAGTGTGGTGAGAGCAGTGGCCAGAAAGGAGAGTGTGAGGCTGGAGAAGCAGGCTAGACTTGCAGTGGGGTTTGTTTGCGTTTTGTTCTTGTAGCAAAGAGAACTTCTCTGGCTGGCAGTTTTTAGCAGGGGAGAAATATTATCTAACTTGAATTTTACAAGATCACTTGTAGCCACATTCTAGGCAAAAACTCAAGGGGGAAGACGAGTGTGGAAGTGGGAGGTCTTGGAGAGCTAACAGTGGCGTAGGGGTGAAATAGTGTTAGCTTGGACTTAAAGAGCAAGAAAATAGAGAATTTGTTTTGGGGGTAGAACTACTGTTGAATTTTATTTTATACTTGCTATAAGAAAAAGAGAAGAAGGGAAGAATCAAGGATGATGCCAAGTTAGCTGGGTAGATGAGAGCACTTACTAACAAGTTCAAAAACCCTAAGAAGGATATTTGGTTACCCAGAGTTTGTAAGTCAGAGAGCAAGGATGGTTGTGGAAGCTTCTAAGGTTTCTCCTTGTACCTCTTATAGGAACCCAAGTTCTGCTTTTATTCTTTTTTTCACTGAGGAACATATAGAAACATGTTCTTTTTGGCTCACAGGGCTCCACAGAGAGCTGTAACACCACTACAGAAGATGAGGACCTCAAAGGTAAGTGCTGTTCCTTGGAGGGGAAGGGACCCCAGCTGTGGCCCAGGTACCTTGGCACTGGTGGGCCACTTGTCTTCTCTGTCCCCAGAACTAGAATGATTGGTTCTCCATACTGCAGGAGAAGACTTGGCATAAAAGCTACTTTCTATAGGCCAAAATATGAGGCCTCTGTATCTAGACTGTTGCTAGACTGGGCAAAAGGACTCTCTTTGAAACAAATTCAGAACAGCTGTATTACCTGCTTCCAGGACTAGGGTTCAGGGAGCTATTCCTGTTGCTGATAATGATTTTGACATCCCAGAACAGGCAGCTTAAGTCCCAGCAAAAGTGGGGTAACTAGTCATCCCAGTTTTCTCAGGATCAAAGCACTTCCTGGGATGTGAAACTTTCAATTTTGAAACCAGTACAAGGGGTTATGGGTGTAGATTAGTGGTAGAATACTTGTCTAGCATATGCACAGCTCTAGGTTTTCTTCAGCACCAAAACAAAAATAAAATACAATAAAATCAGGACCAACTCTCTGGGATGAGTTGGTTGGCTCTAGTTCTGAGGTCTGGCCATGAATGATACAGTTGGAACTAATATGATGCCTGTAAAGCCCCACATGGCTGTGTCTTGATAGGCTACAAGAACTACCAGCCTAAGCTTTGATATTGGCCAGAGTGCCAGGGTTGCAGGGAATATGGCAAGTGAGGCCAGTGAGAATCTCTTCCTGTTCCTTGGGTTGGCCTTCTGGGATTGCTTCTTGGGCCTTTAGTAAGTGACCTTCAATCCAGACCAGTAGAAAAAAATGGAGGATGTTCTAAGTTAGCTGAGAGAGCATGCCAAAAGCAATAGGGGCACTAAATCTTTGGGAACCCAAACTATCAAAATCATGTACATATAAGGCAGTGAGAATATGACTGCCAGGACTGCTGGGAGTCAGTTCAGTTCGGTTCTGGTGATGCTGGCAGAGTAGTTGGCACCTTCACTCCTGGGCTCTTGACCTCATGGCTCAGCCCTTCAAGCATCTTCTCCAGGAGCAGGGGTTCTTGTACAGTCTGTTTTAAGGCTGCTCTTGGAGCTGTAAGCCCAGGTCTGTGCACCCTCCCCAGTGCTCCTGGCTGTGAGGCCTCTCTGGCAGAGGCAGAGGAGTGGGATGTGGTCCAGCGTCCAGAGCAGCCTGAGGCGTCACCTTGCCCAGGCTCTGCAGTGCCATGGGCTCGGGTCCTTTCTGGCTTGCTCGCTCACCTGCCTTGTTCTGTTTGTTTTGGCTGCTCTGCCTTGCCCTGCCCTGCCCTGGCTGGCTAGCTGCCCCGCTCCGCACTGGGAATGGCAGCTTGGTGCCTGAAGGACGGAGCTCCCGGGACAGAACAGCCCCCTCTGCAGGCATGCAGCCCCAGCCTTCTCTCTGCTCCTCAGCCAGTAAGTGTGAGGGAGGCACATTCTGGCTTCCAACTCCCTGGCTTGTCTTGAGGCCCCTCAGGGATCCCTCCCAGAGCTGTTAGCCTAGCTCAGCTACCTGTTGTCATCAGCTTTGGGAGCATGGCCTCTGCCAAGGGTGGGGGAACAGCTGGACACATTGCTCTTAATAGGCAGAAGCCCAAAGAAACACCAGAAGCATGGGTGGAAGAAGTGTGGAGGGAGGGAGGGAGTAGAAAGCCCTTGGGTTGTGGAGGGGGGGGCACCCTTGCTTTCACAACAGCCAGGAAGAAGGGCAGAGTAGGAAGTCAGGTCTACCAGGGTAAGAGGGGGAGCAAGGGTGAAACTGGATCAGCTGAGGAACTGTGCAGTATTTCTTGAGGCTCAGCGTAGTATCTTACAAGAGTAGAACAGACTTAAGTTTAAGTCCCACATAATGTAGCTGAAAAAGTCTGTGTTAGCTTAGCTTCCCAGAACTTCAATTTCCATATCTGTAAAGTGGGGGGGGAGGGGGTGGGGTGGGAAATGGCACCTGTTTCAAGTGTTGTTAGGAAAAAGAAATGAGAATAGAAGGTCTCCACATGGTGCTTTTCAGGGTTTATGGAAGTTTGTATTTTTAGTTCTGTCTGTGTTCAAGGGTGCCTCACTTTGCTTGTTTTCCTTCTACCTTCTATCCTCAAAGTTTCTAAATCCAGTCCTCTTCACCCACAGGGCCCCCGTCAGGTCCTCTAGGTGGGTGTAACACGGTTGTATGTTACCTGCTTGCTTCTGTAGAAAAGCAACAGAGGTTGTTGGCTCCTCTACCCCACTGCTTGCTCACCCAGAGCTGCCCACCTTGTGATGGTACCTGGGGGTCCCTCCTGGTTGCACTTCAGCCATGCTCTCTGCTCCCAACCGTGCTCCTTGGTTGTGCTGGCCCAGCACAGTGGTGCTGTTCTCATGCTGGTGCTGTTCTCATGCTTGCATTTGTCTTGCAGCCTCTCACTCCTATGGGGAAAGGCTTATGGTCTGGGTCAGCCCAGGGCTCCAGTTAGGGTTAGCCGAACTCAGTCCATACATTCCTTTAATCTGGCAGTAACCCCTGCTAATAATGATGCTGTTTCTGAGGCCAGGATGTCACCAGCTGTTTCTTGGTTGGAATGGGGTAGAGAGGGAGGTTCTTCACCTACCTCTGAGTCTGAGCCTTGTCTTGGTTTTCCTCAGGGACACACTCTGGCATGAGAGCTGGTGTGAGATTTATAGCTTTTCTAAGCTTTGTCCAGAGAAAATTGAGCTATCTTTGGTAAGAGATTGTCCAAGGGTGTTTACAGTTGAAATTCTTTATCCCAGAAAAGCCCTGTGGAGGAAGGAGATGAACAGGGTGAAGAGAATTAGGCAGACAATTCCCTCTTAGGATTCCATTCTTTTGGAATCTTCATCCCTAGCTAGATTCTTCTCTCAGACTGGCTGGTGCCCCAAAGCTGGGTTCTGGGCTGCTGAACGAGGGCTAAGACTGTAGGTGGTAACTGAGACCTGACTGAGTCTCTTCCAGTGAGAGAAGTAGGGGGTGGAAACAGCTATATTGGGAGATGCTTCTCAGAGAGGCTAAACCTGCTGGAGATGGATACACAGACTCTGGTAGAACATTCAAGAAGTTCCAGATGCCTCAGCTGTTAAAGACAAGAGTGTTTTCTGTGACCTGGTTGTTGATGGAGAGGCAAAATCCAGAGATCCATGACTAATGGGTGGGATTTAAGAAAAGGTGGTCAGTTGGTTCTGCAGACACCACAGAGAGAATGGACAGAAAGGTGGGCTTACTCCTGCTAAGGACCTTAAAGACAGAAAAGAGGGATGTCTTTGAAAAAGAGGTACCAGGGGACTCCCTGAAGGATTAAGGAGGGCTCTCTTGTCACTTGGGAGATGGCCAGCAGATAAAGTAGCAGGTTGTTGTTTTTTTTCTCCTACAGTGCGAAAACAGGAGATCATTAAGATCACAGAACAGCTGATTGAAGCCATTAACAATGGGGACTTTGAGGCCTACACGTGAGTAAAGAGCCTTTTCTTTGAGACATAGGTCATCTCTCAATACCTTCTCTGCTTCCAAAAAGCAACTGGAACACTGTGGAAATGGCAATTTGGGCATGGACTGTGTTTAAATTAAACCCCAGGATCTTGTCGATTGCTTGTGATTCAGCCAGCCCTGGCATCTGACATTGGGGCAAAAAAGGCAGGGCTGAGTGGCTCAGCAGTCAGGCCCTGAAGATTTCAGCTGTCTTCTCAGATGTAACTTACATGGTGCTACTGGACAGACACATTTGAAGAAGAAGGAAGACACACAACTCCTATAGAGGACTAACAGGCTTCTTTTCGAAATTTTTTAAACTTTCTATTATTACTTTTTTTGTGTGCCTGTCCTGGGGCTTGAACTCAATACCTGGGCAGCACTGTCCCTGGACAGTGCCACTTGAGCCACAGCTCCACTTCCAGCTTTTTGGGTGGTGGTTAATTAGAGATAAGAATTGCACTTTCCTGCCTGGGCTGGCTTCAAACCGCATTCTTAGATCTCAGCCTCTTGAGTAGCTAGGATTATAGGCATGAACCACTGGTGCCTGGTTTGATTGTATTTATTTATATTTTCCTGCAGGAAGATCTGTGACCCAGGCCTCACTTCCTTTGAGCCTGAGGCCCTCGGTAACCTGGTGGAGGGAATGGATTTCCATAAGTTTTACTTTGAGAATCGTGAGTGGGTTCGTGCTGCTGATATACTCCTGCCTGCCCCTTCACCCTTTGCCTTTGTCTCCTCCTCACATCCTCCTCACCCCAGTTGCTCATTTTTCCTTTACTTGACCTTCCTGCTATAGCCCTCTGTGTCTGCTTGCCTCTTTGTGCCCCACTAGCCTAATGGTCATAAACTTCCACCTTCAAAGGCCCTATTCTAGTTCCCTGCCTAAGAACAGTGTCTGTCATTACAGCCTGGGTGACTGTATGTCTTTCGGCCTCACCTCCTTCCAAGACTTCCAAGATTGCACACCCTTCACAATTAGTTTGAGACCATTTGAACCAAATAATCATGATGCTCTGTCTCCAGGTTTCACAGTAGAGGAAATTAAAACCAGGTTGAGAATGTGCAAGCAGTGGCACTGATAGTGATGTGTGGGATCAGAAATTGGGGTTAGGATTCCTCATGAATACTGAAGGAGGCAGGGAGCTTGGGGGGAGAGCAGGGAATGTATCTTGGATAGCTCACAAGTCCCAGGGGATAAGATTTGAATTGTCCTCTCCAGTCCTTCATTTTCCTCTTCTCGCCCCCTGTATCCTGGGCCTTTCCCATTCTGCCCTGAGTTTATTCTGTGATTGTTTTCTCCCCCTGACTCTCACTCTTACCCTGAGATGCCCATGTAAACCCTCAGCTATCCATATAATGCTATTAGCCAGAAACTTCCTTTGTTTTTCTCCCAGAGGACCCTGGGACCTCTGAGGATTTCCTGACCTGCCTACTTTGGTGATTTTATTTTGACTCTGGTGCTTTTTTTTTTAAGTCACAGATCTGTTTTGAGTCCTTCATTTTGTGCTGTAACAGCCCTAGTCAAGAACAAATCACCTTTATGAAATTGAAACATCAGACTAACAAAGGTAGAAAGACCACAGACATTTATGAGAGCCACATGGTTCTGAATTTAAATAAATGAGTTGGAGATATGATTTAATCTCTTTGAGTTTATTGCCTTCTTATAATGGAAATATCCAGCTCATGCATGTAAACCTCCAGCCCACTGCCTGATTAAAAAGAGTAGTGGGCTGGGAAGGTGGCTCAGTGGTAGAGCGCTTGTCTTGCATGCTTGAGGCCCTGGGTTCGATTCCTTAGCACCACATAAGCAAAAAGAAAAAAGCCGGAAGTGGCGCTGTGGCTCAAGTGGTAGAGGGCTAGCCTTGAGCTGAAGAGCTGAGGGACAGCGCCCAGGCCCAGAGTTCAGGCTTCACAACCGGACCCAAAAATAAAATAAATAAATAAAAAGAGTAGCTTCTATTGTCACTATTACTCATGTTTCCCCTCCTTTTGAGTGAGACTAATCTATTGGGGCATCTTGACCTCTGTCATATGAAGAACTGAGATTCTTGGAATGGTTGCTGGAGGGAGGCTAAGACTTAAAAATCAGTATGTACCAGGTGGAAAATTTAGGTACCCAGACCTGACACCCTCCTACCTTCCCCTCCCTGTCTTGCCCCTACAGTCTTGTCTAAGAACAGCAAGCCCATCCATACCACCATCCTAAACCCACATGTGCACGTGATTGGGGAGGATGCAGCTTGCATCGCCTACATCCGTCTCACCCAGTACATCGATGGACAGGGCCGACCACGCACCAGCCAGTCAGAGGAGACCCGGGTGTGGCACCGCCGGGATGGCAAGTGGCTCAATGTCCACTATCACTGCTCAGGGGCCCCTGCTGCACCACTGCAGTGAGCTCAGCCACAGGTGCAACTGGTGGGAAAGGAGGAACTGGGAAGGGCTGGGACAGGGGGCTGGAGGGGCTAGAGAAGGCTGGGAGGGACAGGAAGAGGAGATCTTAGCCATCTGAGGAATGGCAAAGACTGGGCAATATAGCTTTAACAAGATGATTCCAAGTTGAGTACATGCCAACAAGCTTTCAAAAGCGGGGAAAGAATATCTACCTCTTTTTATTTGAGACTGTTAAATAAGATATATATATAGGTAAGACACAGCTGCTCAAATGTGAGGCAGTGTTATATTTAAACATTAGCTTCTCCCCTATCTGCCCTCTCAGCAGACTTTACTCTATGTGTCATGCTTAGGTCCTAGGAACTCGCCTTGATGTTCTTTGTCCTCTGTTCTGTTACCACCTTCTATCCTGTTTCACAGGGGCATTAGGAGATTCCAGCTGGAGGTCAAACCTTCGCAGCCAGTGGCTCTGGAGGGCCTGAGTGACAGCGGCAGTCCTGTTCGTTTGAGGTTTAAAACAATTAAATTACAAAGCGGCAGCAGCCAATGCACGCCCCTGCATGCAGCCCTCCCGCCCGCCCTTTGTGTCTGTCTCTGCTGTACCGAGGTGTTTTTTACATTTAAGAAAAAGAGGGGGACAAAAGATTGTTTAAAAAAAAAAAAGGAACTGTACCATGATGCGTTTTAAAACCACCAGTAGCCCTTGGGCTGGCAAGAAGACAGGAGTTTTTGTGATGCCCATCCTGGCATGAACAGTGGGCTCAGCCACCAGCCCTGAAGAAGTGAGCTTGGCCTCAGGCCCCCATGGATTCGAGGGGACCAGACAAGGACTTCTGACAGAGCTTTGGGAGCCATGATGTAATCACAGCCCCTGAGATGGCCTGCTTATCCCAGGATAAGCATGGATTTCTTCAGAACCTGCATAGGCGCCTTGAATGAGCCTGATGAAAACACCATGGCGGTCACAACTACTTGGGAGAGAACGCACAGCTCCCAACCTGCTATGGAGACAGCTGAAAAGCAGTGGCCTCGGGACTGAGGGCCCAGACTTTGCTGTACTGTTGTTCCATGTAGTTTAGAAGGGAAGTGAATTGGTGCTGCAGAAATGTGTTTGCTGCAAAGCCTATGAGGAACCTCGTGTTAGTCTGACATGTACTCACTTACTCATCCATTTCTATAGGATGCACAGTGCACATGGGCCCTGATATTGAGGCCTGACCCCTGCAGATGGAAAGGGAGAGGAGTTGCTGCTTTGCTTCGTGTTTGTTTCTTATTAACTTAGCAAGGAGAGAGCCAGGCCCTGAGTCAGGGCTCCTCTTCATGCCTTTGGCAGTTCTGTTCCTGTGCTGATCTGGACCATCTTTGTCTTGTCTTTTCATGGTGGTGGTCCCCATGCTGACCCTCATCTGGGCCTGGGCCCTCTGCCAAGTGCCCCTGTGGGATGGGAGGAGTGAGGCAGTGGGATAAGAGATGGTGGTTGTTTCTATGCATTTGGGCTGCCCTCAGGGCTGCCTTCCTTCTTACTCTTCCCTTGCTGCACGTCCATCTCGTTCCCTGTCTTTGAGATTGAACTGACTGCTCTGATGAGAAGTGTCCTCTTTGAGGAGGCCTTTTTACTGACCAACTGAAGTATAGACTTACTGCTGGACAATCTGCATGGGCAACACCCTTCCCCCTCACTGCATGAACCCAAAAAAAGGTGTTCAGAGCCAAGGCTCCTACATTCATTGTCCCTCTCTGTGCTCAAGGAGTTCAGCCCCTGGAGAAAAAGATCTATACCCTAAGCAGATAACAGAGAAGATAATGAGGGAGCAATTGGTTATGGCCTTGGTTTCCCCAAAAATAACTGTGCATATTTATCTGCACAAATATCTTCACTTTGGGGGAAAAGGTGGGTAGACTCCAGTTCCCTAGACCATCTTCAAGAGTCTTAGGAATTGGGAGAAGAGGCAAAAAGCTATGTGCTGGTGCTTGGATTTAGCCAGCCTCCTCGAGCGCCTCATGCATGCTCCAGGCCCCTGGGCCCTGGCCCCTTCCTGCCCTGCAGCCTGCAGTGCCAGCTTGCAGATACCTTCATCACAGGGTTTGGTTTTGCTGGCTTGAAGACAAATGGTCTTAGAGTTCGAGACCCATAGCTTCCTATGGCTGTTCCAGCCTCACTTCTTAGCATTCTTATTATTCTGGGGTTAATGTCAGCATCTATAGATGATAGACTATTAAAAAAAAAAAAGTCACCTTTTAAACAGGAAATGGAAGGCATTTGATGCAGAATTTTTGCATGATGACATAGAGATAATTTAAAAATAGTGTTTGTTCTGAATGTTGGTAGACCCTTCATAGCTTTGTTACAATGAAACCTTGAAGATATTTAATAAAATAACCTTTAAACAGTCCATTGTGTTAACTGCTGTTGGAGGCTTATGACCAGGATTTGAGCAGCTTGTGTTACAAACTTTCCAATGAAGAAATGTATCTTCTCCCATTCCCTTTGGATCCTTAGGGGAAAAAAAACTTCTCAAAAGTCTGCAGTTTCGACTTGTCCACAGCTGCGGAGGCGTGCCTGGCGTGGAGAAGACCGGGCTCTTAATTGGTGGGCTGAGGTTCTCACCACACACACACACCCCCAGGCCCACCCACATATCAGGCTAGCCACGCCCTCACCCCCGCCTTTAGTGGGCCGGCCCGGTTCCCCCTCCGCTAGGCTAAGTGGGCCAGCCCTCGACCCGCCCCTGCTCGTGGGCCGTGGCGCCTGACGCTCTCCAGACTGTGCCATCGGGCGACAAGTTGTGGGGGGCATTGCGGACGCAGGCAAAAACAACTCGGAGGCCGTGGCTGGGGCCGAGCGGTTGCGAAAGGTTGTGTGGTTCCCCCCCGCACGTCGGTCGCGCGGCTGTCACGCTCGGAGCCTGCGGGGACCACGAGCGGCAGCGCGCTGTCCCCCCCTCGGCAGGAGCGGTGGTAGGGTCCGGCTGCGGCAGAGCGTTCGCTCGGAGATGGCGGAGCGGCCGCGACGCGGCCCGAGGCTCCGAGAGCAGGGAAGCTGGGCAGCCCCGGGACGCGGCGGAGCCCGGGGACAGCAGGGACGCCGCCCACTCCGCCGGGTGAGCCTCCCTTGAGGACAGCAACCCCCACACACAGTGGGGCCCCCCCAGTTCCTCCGCTCACAGACTCGCCGCTGAGTGTGACCATTGCGGAGTCGCCCCGGGCGGCCCCTCGCCCGCGCGTCCCTTCCACCACCGCCCTCACGCCCGCCTCGCCCCGGCCAGCCAGCTCCCTCACGCTCGGCCAGCGCAGTGCCTGCTTCCCGCTCACCCCAGGCGCCTCTGCCCCTTACCCCTACCCCTGGCGTGCCCCCGCCCGGGCTCTTTTATCTCCACCCTGACCTCGTGTTTCCTCACCAAGTTCGCTCCCCTGGTGAACCCGCTCCAACTCGGCTCTGCTGGTGTCCGAGTGCAGACCCTTCTGCGTCCCTGTTGCTATCGCTTGCAGCTCGGCAGCCGGCCCCGTGGTTTCTCCCCGTCTCCAAAACCTTCCACTGCTGCACGCAAACACACACACACTTTCCTCCCCTCACAGCCACCCTTCTACCCCACGCCCCATCCGAATGGCTCTCTTCTCGCCCCTTGGCTAAATCGCTGTTTCTTTTAGGTATGAAGCTGAAATGTAGTGGTTAACAGCATGGGGGATCTGGAGATCTGGAGCTTGACAGGCCTGATTTTGAACCCCAGTTCCTCCACTGACTGAGCTGTGTGATCCCGGGCAAGTTACTAAGCCTCTCAGCTTCAAGTTACTTATGGGTAAAATGGAAATAATAATAGTACTATCCATTTCCTACTTCTTAGGGCTGGTATAGAGATTAAATTCAGATGCTTCTTGACTTATGGAGAGAGAAGTGATAAATTTATCCTAAGCTGGACATGCTAAGTCAAAAATATACCTTACCTACTGAGTGTGATAGCTTAGCTGCTACTCAGTATACTTTAGTGTCAGTTGCTCAACCTCCTGATGATTCAGATGACTGGGAGATGCCACTGCTCAGCATCATAAGAGAGTATCATACTGCATATCCACCAGCTGGGGGGGGGGGGGGGGACTCAAAAATCAAGATGCTGGGGAAGCAAATCAGGGGTAGAACATGTACCTAGCATTCACAAGGTCCTGGATGTAAAATCCAGCACCAAAAAACAAAATGTAGTACGGTTCATTTGAAGTATGGTTTATACTGAATGCTTATGATTTTCACACCATTGTATATCTCCATCAGCAACCATTTGTATATGTATAGCTCTTGGAAGAATGCCTGACAGATAGCTCTCAACAAATATTAACTATTGGGGCTGGGAAGGTGGCTCAGTGGTAGAGTGCTTGCCTTGCATGCATGAGGCCCTGAGTTTGATTCCTTACTACCACATAAGCAGAAAAAGCTGGAAGTGGGGCTGACGCTCAAGTGGTAGAGTACTAGCCTTCAGCTGAAGATCTGAGGGGCAGCACCCAGGCCCAGAGTTCCGGCCCCACAACCGACCAAAAAAAACAAATATTAACTATTATTTACAGTGTCAATTTGTTCTCAGTGATTACTATGCTTTCTTTAAAGTTTCTTCTTTTTTTTTTTTTTTTTTTGTCAGTCGTGGGGCTTGAACTCTGGGCCTGGGCGCTGTCCCTCAGCTCTTCAGCTCAAGGCGAGTGCTCTACCACTTGAGCTACAGCGCCACTTCCGGCTTTCTGGTGGTTTATTGGAGATAGAAGTCTTACGGGTCTCTCCTGCCCGGGCTGGCTTTGAACCGTGATCCTCAGATCTCAGCCTCCTGAGTAGCTAGGATTACAGGCGTGAGCCACCAGCGCCCGGCTTAAAGTTTCTCCTAATTCTTAGAATTCACCCCTTCTCGTTTCTCACATTCTCTTTCTCTTCCTTTCTCCCTCCCTTTATCACTCACTCTTGCTTACTCGCTCGCTTGCTTGCTTACTTGCTTGCTTCCTTTCTTTTCTGGGGTGCTGGGTATTAAACTCGGCCTCATGCATGCTAAACATATACTCTGCCACTGAGCTGCAACTCCAGCGCCTATCACGATTTTTATTCAGTTTTACCCTGACTAAAGCTGAGCTCTTCGTAACTCATCTCTCTCAATTCTGAAGGACCCTGTCTCTGCCTAATCACTCCTGAGACAGGTCTGCAGCATGGGCCAGCCATTGGCCTTACTAAAAGTAGTGTAGGTAAGGAGACTATAAATCTTCTAGAAGCATTCTGTTTAAGAAAAATGAGATTACAAATTAAGTCTCCTTAAAACTGTTTTCTGATCACTATGCCTTTATACTTTCTAATTGGCTAGCTATGACTTAAGCTCATATTGCTCTCTGTCATCTGCTACTGGTTTGCTCTGTTTTTGTAACTGAACTGAACCTCTCATATTTTTGTAAGCTGAGCTCTTTAGGATTAGAGATGCCATTCCACTTTGGCTAAGTTAGGAAAGATAACTAAAATGGATAGGAAGAGATACGCTCTGGACCCGGCTTTTGGCTTTGCACATGTATTAGTGACATAACCTGTTCTGGAGCTATGGAAAAAGTAAAGGCTAAGAGGTAATTTTTCACAAACAGTAGAAAAGAGAGTCTACAAATTCTGGGTTAAGATGCTAATAGAATAATAATTAGCCCATCTCTTTCCTTTTGAGTACCCCTACCATAATGTCCACATGACTGCAAGTTCGTTAGTCTGTTAGATATATCGTTGAATTAGGTTGATGTGGAAGATAAACAGACTCACGAGTTTCCTCTGATCTGATGTTGCATTGGGCCACGAGACTTCTGGGGTTTTCTACCCATTTCTTACCAAAAGACCAGAGTTCTTGCAGGCTGGACAACTAATTGGTTGTGGGATAGGAACTTGCAGTGAAAGCCTGTTTTCAGTCTCCCAGGCTGTCTGTCCTCTGCAGAGAGCCTCTTCCAGCACTTGAGTTTGCTTTTCCAGCTTGAGCTTAAGAAAATTTGAACATTCACATGTGGGTTCCATGACAGCTAAGGTATGTGTTCTTCTATAGGAGATAATCCCCCTCCTTTGCTTTGAGAACAGATCATCAAGGGAGCGGGAAGTAAGAGAGATGGGGTGAGGAGGAGAATGGATTAATGATAGACTTTCAGGGGCAGAAGTAATCCATCCCTTTCTGTGTCTTACAGATTGTGGAGGCCAAGCTCGTGAACTTTGCTGATTTGTGATGTGAGAAGCTTTATCAGAGCCAAGGAAGCTAGATTTGCAGCGTGAAGCCATGGTCCAGGAGGCCATGGTGACTTGAGACTGCTGCTGCTTCTTCCTTTTCTACTCTAGAATAAATGGATTTGGTTCCCATCTCTTCAGGAAATTGACCCTGAGTGAATCCCTTTCCCCTATTTTCCTATCCTTCTACTCACCCAAGAAAACTTCTATCCTAGAGGACTCCCACCTCCCATCCCCAGAGGTGGTCCCTTATTCCTCCTTTATTTCCCTCGCCATGCTCCAGCTGTGGAAGGTGGTACGCCCAGCTCGGCAGCTGGAACTGCACCGCCTCATACTGCTGCTGATTGCTTTCAGCCTTGGCTCCATGGGCTTCCTGGCTTACTATGTGTCCACTAGCCCCAAGGCCAAGGAACCCCTACCCCTGCCCTTGGGAGACTGCAGCAGCAGTGGGGCAGCTGGTCCTGGTCCTGCAAGACCTCCAGTCCCTCCTCGGCCTCCCCGGCCTCCAGAAACAACTCGAACTGAACCTGTGGTCCTTGTGTTTGTGGAGAGTGCATACTCACAGCTAGGGCAGGAGATTGTGGCCATCTTGGAGTCCAGTCGTTTTCGTTACAGCACTGAGCTGGCACCTGGCCGAGGGGACATGCCCACGTTGACTGATCACACCCGTGGCCGCTATGTCTTAGTCATATATGAGAACCTGCTTAAGTATGTCAACTTGGATGCGTGGAGTCGGGAACTGCTAGACCGCTACTGTGTGGAATATGGCGTGGGCATCATTGGCTTTTTCCGAGCCCATGAGCATAGTTTACTGAGTGCCCAGCTCAAGGGCTTTCCCATTTTTCTACACTCAAACTTGGGGCTCCGGGACTACCAAGTGAATCCTTCTGCCCCCCTCCTGCATCTCACCCGCCCCAGCCGCCTGGAGCCTGGGCCACTTCCTGGTGATGACTGGACCATTTTCCAGTCCAATCACAGCACTTATGAACCCGTGCTTCTTGCCAACCTTCGGCCAGCTGAGCCTCCTGTGCCAGGACCTGTGCCTCGTCGAGCCCACCTTCCTACTGTGGTACAGGACCTGGGGCTTCACGATGGCATCCAGCGGGTACTCTTTGGCCATGGACTTTCTTTCTGGCTTCACAAACTGGTTTTTGTTGATGCTGTTGCATACCTCACTGGCAAGCGCCTCTGCCTGGACCTTGACCGCTACATCCTGGTAGACATCGACGACATCTTCGTGGGCAAAGAAGGTACTCGCATGAAAGTGGATGATGTTGAGGTCAGTCTTTATTTTTCTCTTTGCATTTCTTTCTGTAAAATTACTTAAATATCTGTCCTTATAAGTTGTTCAAGCTTTGGTCTGTCCAGCTCTTGCCATGATTCTGAGCTTATGGAAAGGCACACTCCTGCCCTTTGTAGGCAGGAAGAAATTTATTTTTCATGTAGCTTCGACTCAGTCTGTTTCCTCCTGATTTCTCATGTCTCTGCTACTCTTCTCAGGCTCTGTTGACCACCCAGAACAAACTCAGGACCTTAGTCCCTAACTTCACCTTCAACCTGGGTTTCTCGGGCAAGTTCTACCATACTGGTGAGTTTATTCTCCTGTGCATTCAGCATAGCATTATTGGTTTGATGTGTACCTTCATTGCTTATCTCTCTGGGAAGACTGGTTGAAGAAAAGGGGCATAGTTGGGAGCTGATGGTGGGCTTGCATCTTGCCTTAGTGATGGGAAAAATAAGTTGGCAGTAGGGCAAATAGAAAACCTGGGGTTGGAGGAGTCAGTAGCATTCCAAGGGTGGAAGGTGGTGTGTTGTAATAGCACAAAGGACAGAGGGCTGACTGGCTGTGGTCAGTGGTCAGTATGTGGTCACAGGGACAGAGGAGGAGGATGCGGGGGACGACATGCTGCTGAAGCACCGCAAAGAGTTCTGGTGGTTCCCCCACATGTGGAGCCACATGCAGCCACACCTGTTCCACAATCGCTCTGTGCTGGCCGACCAGATGAGGCTCAACAAACAGTTTGCTTTGGTGAGACCCTTGCATCTCTTCTCTACAGTTTCTCCCAGAATGAATTCCTCCTTTCAAATTTCCCCTACCGTTTCAAATTTTCTTTCTGTGGAGGCATCCCCGCCCTCTCTATCCTATACTCCCCAAACCTCACCAGGTCCTGGTGAGAGTCTATGCCATTCCCAGGAGCATGGGATTCCCACGGATCTGGGTTATGCTGTGGCCCCCCACCACTCGGGCGTGTACCCCATCCACACGCAGCTCTATGAGGCTTGGAAATCTGTGTGGGGCATCCAAGTGACCAGCACTGAAGAGTACCCCCATCTCCGCCCTGCCCGCTACCGCCGTGGCTTCATTCACAGTGGCATCATGGTGAGGGACTCCCACTACAACTCCCCCGATTAGTCTCCAGCCTGCTTTGACTTGTGACTTGTCCAAGTTCATGCTCATAGTAAGGGGTAAAAATCTGAAATCCCATGGGTTGGGAATGTGGTTTAGTGGTAGAGTTCTTGCCTAGCATGCGTGAAGCCCTTAGTTCAATTCCTCAGCACCACACAAACAGAAAAGGCTGAAAGTGGCGCTATAGCTCAGGTGGTGGAGCGCTCGCCTTGAGCAAAAGAAAAGAGGGTCAGGGACAGTGCGCAGGCCCTGAGTTCAAGTGCCAAGACTGGCAAAAAAAAAAAAAAAAATCAGGAAAGCCCTTTTATTATTATAATCATAGACTGGGCCTTCTAGAAACCCAGAGAATCTCGCTGCTTCACATTGTACTGTACAAATCTCATCTCAACTGTCTCTGTTGCTTGTTTTTCCTCCAGGTTCTCCCCCGGCAAACATGTGGTCTCTTTACTCATACAATCTTCTATAATGAGTATCCTGGAGGCTCCCGTGAGTTAGACCGGAGCATCCGAGGTGGAGAGCTCTTTCTGACAGTGCTGCTTAATCCGGTAAGGTGCAAAGAGGAAGGGCTGGAAAATTGACAAGCTGAAGTATTTGCAGGCCAGGGGCTGGGGGTTGATGGTGAGGTGGAGTAGCCTCTCCAAATCTGACATGAAGATGCCTTATTACAGATCAGCATCTTTATGACCCATTTGTCCAATTATGGAAATGACCGGTTGGGTCTGTACACCTTTGAGAGCCTGGTACGCTTCCTCCAGTGCTGGACACGGCTACGCCTACAGACCCTTCCTCCCATCCCTCTTGCACGAAAGTACTTTGAACTTTTCCCTCAGGAGCGAAGCCCCCTTTGGCAGGTAAAAGTGGAGCTCAGGCTGAAGAGAGGCCTGATGGGGGTGGAGTGTAAGAGAGGCCTTCCTTATCAGATTCTTGGCCTCACCTTCAGAATCCCTGTGATGATAAGAGGCACAAAGATATCTGGTCCAAGGAGAAAACCTGTGATCGACTCCCCAAGTTCCTCATTGTGGGACCCCAGAAGACAGGTAAATTATCCTTTAACACCTTACTTGCTCTGCCTTTATAAACCCAAACTCCTTTTGCCAAAGAGCTCCCACAGGTCCCAGTGGCTCATGCCTAGAATGCTAGCTAGCTACTCAGGAGGCTGAGATCTGAGGATTGCAGTATGAAACCAATCTGGGCAGGAAAGTCCTTGAGACTTTTTTTTTTTTTTTTTGGTCGGTCATGGGGCTTGAACTCTGGGCTTGGGCACTGTACCTGCACTCTTCAGCTCAAGGTGAGCACTCTACCACTTGAACCAAAGCACCACTTGTGGTTTTCTAGTTGTTTATTGGAGATAAGAGCCTCACAGACTTTCCTGCCTGGGCTGGCTTTGAACCACAATCCTCAGATCTCAGCCTCCTGAGTAGCTAGGATTACAGGTGTGAGCTACCAGCGCCCCACTTTCTTGAAACTCTTATCTCCATATAGAAATGGAGCTGTAGCTCTAGTGGTACAGCACTAGCCTTGAGCAAAAGTTTAGGGACAACACTCAGGCCAAGTTCAAGCCCCAGTAGTGGCACCAAAACAAACAAAAAACTCCCTTCTCTTACCTACTCAATGTAAATCTAATCTCACGATAGAGATTCTCACGGGGCTGGGAAGGTGGCTCAGTGGTACAGTGCTTGCCTTGCATGCATGAGGCCCTGGGTTCGATTCCTCAGCACCACATAAGCAGAAAAAGCCAGAAGTAGCACTGTGGTTCAAGTGGTAGAGTGCTAGCCTGGAGCTGAAGAGCTGAGGGACAGCACCCAGGCCACAGTTCAGGCCACATGACCGCAAAAAAAAAAAAAAAAGAGATTCTCAAATCTAGTTGTTTATCAGAATTTTGGGGTTTATGTTATTTTTTTTTTTTTTTTTTTGCTCTGTTTTTACTGTACTGGTGATCTAATGGCTTTGCATAGGCAAGTGCTATACCACTGAGCTCCATGGGTTTCTAGCCCTCATCCATGGAGTTTTGTTTTTGTTTTTGTTTTTTTAATTTCATTTATTTTTTTTTGTCAGTTGTGGGGCCTGAACTCTGGGCCTGGGCACTGTCCTCAGCTCTTCAGCTCAAGGCTAGCGCTCTATGTGGACTTTTTAAAGATCAAAGGGTTTTGATACACAGTCAAGGCTGAGAGCCATTGTTTTAACCCTTTACTTGGCCTCTCTGTTTTCTTCTCTCACTGTAGTTTGGCCATAAGGGATTATTACTATACCAAGTGATGATTTCTTACTTTCTTCAAACTCATGCTGTTCAGTTGGCTTCTTTCCTACAAAGGTCTGGTCTTTCCTGTTTAGGCACTACAGCAGTTCACTTCTTCCTGAGCCTGCACCCAGCTGTTACTAGCAGCTTTCCTAGCCCCAGCACCTTTGAGGAGATTCAGTTCTTCAGTGGCCCCAATTACCACAAGGGTATTGACTGGTGAGATTGGGACCATTTTTTTTTTTTTTAATGTTTCTCAGAGTATTTCCTTCTCCAAAAATAACCCCACTTAGCTTCAGTTAGCAGACATCAGGCTTCTTCACTCTGAAAACCTCTGCCTTTTTCCTATGTTACTTGCTAGGTACATGGATTTCTTCCCTGTTCCTTCCAATGCCAGCACTGATTTCCTGTTTGAAAAAAGTGCCACCTACTTTGACTCAGAGGTTGTACCACGGCGGGGAGCTGCTCTCCTGCCGAGAGCCAAGATCATCACTGTGCTCACCAACCCTGCTGACAGGGCCTACTCCTGGTACCAGGTCTGCCCGAGGCTAGGGACACATTGGGCCTGAGAGGGAGGTAGTGACTGCTAAGAGACAGAAAGGAGGGTAGGAAAATGAAACTAGTGCTTTAGGGAGTGGTGCCTGTACTGTCACCAGGCAAGGAATAAGGGCAAAATCATTCTGTCCAATCACCAGTCCTTGCCCTTCCTGTTCTTTGTCCTCTAGCACCAGCGAGCACATGGAGACCCAGTTGCTCTGAACTATACCTTCTACCAGGTGATTTCAGCTTCTACCCAGGCCCCTTTGGTACTTCGTTCCCTGCAGAACCGCTGTCTTGTCCCTGGCTACTATTCTACCCACCTGCAACGTTGGCTGACTTACTATCCCTCTGGACAGGTACAACCCTCCAAGAGCCCCCATTGGGGTTCCCATTCCCTTCAGCCCAGAGGCTTAGGAATATAGAGGGAACCACATCCCTGTCCCTTTAGTTGCTGATTGTGGATGGGCAGGAGCTGCGTACCAATCCAGCAGCCTCAATGGAGAGCATCCAGAAGTTCCTGGGTATCACACCCTTTCTGAACTACACACGGACCCTCAGGTGGGAGAGCATGACCCAGGGGAGGAAGGTCTGGGGGAAATGGGGAAGTAGGTTGCTGTATCTGTGTGGAACAGACCTGGATTGTCTCGCATGGCGAGACATGTATCCCTATGACTGAGAAGGGGTAGTGCGCATTTACGGGGCTCTTCTCTGCCACCCACAGCCTGTTCCTGTTGAACAGGTTTGATGAAGATAAAGGCTTTTGGTGCCAGGGACTTGAAGGTGGTAAGACTCGCTGTCTTGGTAAAAGCAAAGGCCGGAAGTACCCAGACATGGACACACAGGTGAGTGAAAACTCTGGGCATGGTACCTGTTCTACCTCTTGGGTGTGAGTCTGCCCCTCTCCTTACTGTTTGTTTCTGCCTCCGTGTTTCTCCTGTCAGTCCCGCCTTTTTCTTATGAATTTTTTCCGGAACCATAACTTGGAGTTGTCGAAGCTGCTGAGCCGGCTTGGACAGCCAGTCCCTTCATGGCTACGGGAAGAACTACAGCATTCCAGTGTGGGCTGATGTCCCGGCCCTCCTATACCAGCAAAAAGCCCCCTACTTCCCTCTGGGGCAAGCCCAGAGCAGGGCCCACAAGGGGGGTTAGTGTGGCCTGCCCCCGCCCCCTTCTACCTCAGTGGCCCCCATGGCTGGGATGGCTGAGAAGGGAAGGGCATGCCTTTCCCATAGCTCTGGGGCATACTAAAGGGGCTTCCCTTGGTACTCCATATCATGGTACTGGGTACCTTTGACCAATGAACTTGAGAGGTGGGGAGGAGTAAGAGGTTCCAGGAAGAGTATAGAATGTATTAGTCCAGTGGTTTTTCCTCTTTATCCCCAGCAGTGTATCTGTCTGGACCTGGCTATGGGAGGGACCCCTTGCTGTTGCCCCTTTAGTTGGGCAGTGGGATCTACCTGTGGCCCGGCCTCCCTAGTGTCATTCACATTGAATGGGGATGAGGTCGGACAGTGGCTCACAGAGCTGAGTATGAGCCCTAGCTTTGGGCCAGAAATGTCCTTAATAAACATCCTTATTTTTCTCTTTTGTCTGCCTCACTGGAGAAAAACCTAGAGTAAAGCAGGTATCAGATGTCTTCCCCCTCTCCCTGGGGTTTCAAGGGTCAACTGCACAAAGAGGGAAAAGGCCCAGGAGACTAGAGTACAAAAGGAGTTTATATATTTATAAATGCCAAATAAATACCAGAAGTCACCCAACGCCCCTTCCCAATTAGGGCTGTCTCCCCTAGCCCAAGGCTTCTCGGGTCTGAGATATCTTGGCCCCAAACTATCGTCCAAGAGCAGCTGCCTGTTTGGGCTACCAGGGAACTGAGCAGGCATGATGATCCGTCCAGCCAAATCTCACTCCCTCTGTTTAAGAGACCCCTATAGCCAAAGGCCTGTGTCCCTATGCAGAACCCTAAGGGGGCCAGACTTAGGGGGAAAAGGCGGTCATCTCAAGAGAGACCCGCTGCCACAACTCCTTGGTCTGTTTGCTGCGCTTGAGGTTCTGCAGGATGTCGTTGAACTGCATCATGCCCATGGGTGTCAGGCAGAAGGCGCTGCGAGCACTGCGGATGGCATTCACGAAGTCGTCGTAGTCGGCGGGGGTTAGGTGAATTAAGCGATGGTGGATGTACTGGAGGAGGACATGGCGTGTCAGCCTTGGTGCAAGCACAGAAGTGAGCCCATCCTCCCTCACCTACAACTGCTAGGTGTCCCACCCAGCTCCACAATTCCTGGGTTGTCCAACCTGCATGTATGCCTGTTGGCAGCGCTGCACCAGTTGGTGGAAGGCAGGGGCACGCAGGTGGTTGTGGGCATGAGCGGGGTTCAGCCGCTGCAGCGTCTCCATGACGATCTCCTGCAGCACAAACGGGCTCAGCACCCCCTTGGCTGCCCCCACACAGAACTGGTGCACGTAGTTCACTCCTGGGGGGCAGGGGGGAGGGGCATGAGACGGGGGTGGCCACCTCTGCCCTAGGGACCCAACTTTTATAGCTCTCACCTCTGGCCTGGCAGAGAGCCTCCCTCCACCCCCCCAGGAGCCGAGGTAACCCCCCGCCCTCGCGCACGCACACATACCCGACCAAGGCCTCAACTCTGAGCAAGAGCTAGGAAGGAGGTCTGGGATAGGAAGGTAGGGGGAGTGGATGGGGGGGACAATGGTCCTGAGGAGAGGAGGTGTTACCCAGCTTTGCTGCCAGCCCCAGCAACCATTTGACATCATCAGTGTAGGGGGGGGAGCGGGAGAAGTTGTTGGGGTGATCATTGTGTGCCCGGCGACCCAGCATCTCCAGTGCCAGCATTCCTGGGAGACAAGGATGGGCACACGATGGGGTACATCCTTATCCTTGCATGACTTGGAACTATCAGAAGGGGTCCACTGAAGAGCCTTCGGCCTTCGGTTGGGGATGGGGGTACAGAAGGGGTCTCCTCTCACCAACTCGGTAGGCAGCGTGCAGGTGGTGCAGACTGTGTGGATTGGCAGGTTGACTGTGCGTCTCCTCCTCGGGTGGTGGGAAGCCCCCGCTCACTAGCGGGCTGGGCTGTGTAGTCAGAGCAGGCAGTGATGCCCCCTGGATGGCTGGAAATGTGGATGCTGGGTGGACACTGCTCACTGAGGGTGCGACAAAAGCTATGTGAGCTCTTAGTCCAAAGAGGGTGTGAGAGGTTCCCTCCCTCCCTCCCTCCCCTGTCAAGTGGACCTCCCCTCCATTCACCTGTTCCCTGCCCCCACAACTCACAGGCCACACTGGTGGGCAGTGGGAGCCCTGGCTCTGTGTGGTAGGGATGGACTGTGATGGGTGCCATGGAAGGGACAGGGAAAGACACAGCAGTGGCAGCGAGGGAGGGAGGAGTCACGGAGTAAGGGTACTGAGCCCCCAGGAATGCAGGATGCACACCCTAGAGGCGGGGAAGAAGGAAGAAGGAAGCAAGTCATGTGAGGACTCCCCCTTCATCCCACAGATGGACCCTGCCTTGCTGCTTCTCCTGGGCTCCCAACACCTCCCCAGGACCTTTGGATTTCCATGTACCCCTAGAGTGCCCCATTCCAACCCCCACGAACTCCTAGCCTTCTCCCATATGCCCCACTCCCAGAATACTGGTCTCACCTGTGGGTATGCAGAGCCAGGCACCGGGAAGACAGCAGGCCGGGGCATATGAGGCATGGGGTGGGCAGGGTGAGCTGGATGAGTGAGGTACTGGGGGCTGCAGGGCAGGTGGGGCTGTAGAGCAGTGTAGGGGTGCAGGCCAGGGGAGTGACCGTGCCCCAGTCCTGGACCTGGATATAAACTGGACCCCACTGAAATAACTGGAACCACTGTAGCCGCTGCCGTCACTGCTGCCGCTGCTGCCACTGTAACAGCTTCAGTCCCTGGGCCCCCCCTTCCCTCAGGCAGTCCCCGTCCAGCCTCCCCAGCTGCCCTCATCCCGCTGACACTACAGCTTGTAGCCCCTTCACGAGCTGTGGATGAGCCACCTGCTGTTTGCTCATACAGCCAGAACCACTGGTGAGCCACCTCAAACAACACTTCAGGGTACACGCCCCCACCCTTAGCAGCCTCTTCCACTGCCATGCAGGCCTTCTCCAACATCAAGTTGTCCTGGAAGGGAGGAGCACAGAGTGTTAAAGGGGGAAGGGCTCAGCCCAGGAATGTTCCTGTGTTACATGACACCCTCAGGGTTGGCTGATTGATGGGGTGGTATCAGAGGGCACAGTATCAGAGCAGTGAGTCCTTTGCAGACACTGAACAAATACTTACCAATGGAAGACCCTGGGTCAAGTTCCTAATTCCTAACCCACCCCTCTCATGACCTCTCTCAGCCCTTCTGTAAGTTTCATCTTGGTTCCTAAACCACACACCTCTACTTCCTCATCTATAAAATAGGAATAATCCTATTTTAGAATTATGAAGTTAAGGATGTGACAATTGTGAAAGTATATTACAGGTTGAACATTCCTAATCCAAAACCCCCCCAAATGCTCTAAACTCCTATTTTAAGACACTTTCATTTTTTAGTGTCTTGCTATGTAGCCCACGCACTTGCAATCTTCCTGCCTGAGACTTAAGTGCTGGGATGGTAAGCGTAGACCACCACACCTGACCAAAATAAAAAACTTTTTGATCACTAACATGACACTTCACACAGAAAACACCATAAAACTCGTTTCATGTATACAATTACTGAAAATATTGTTTAGGGCTGGGGAATGTGGGTGAGTCACTTGTCTAACATGCACAAGCCACTGGGTACAATCCCTAATACCACACAGAATAATTTTAAGATTAGCTTCAGGCTACATGTATGTTATATATGAAATATAAATTTCACGTTAAGACTTAGGTCCCATCCCCAAAATACCTCACTATGTGTAGCCAAATATTCCAAAATCTGAATCTGAAACATTTCTGGTCTCAAGCATTAAGCTACTCAACCTGTAATACATAAAATGTTACCATGAGAGGACCAATTAGACACTGTGTAAACTCCTGGACATGGCCATCAAAGCACTGGGCTTTCAAACTGGGTGCAATAGAACATGTCTGAGGTCCCAACTATTTGGAAGGCTGAGGCAGAAGACACACCAGTTCAAGAACAGACTGGGCAACTTCGTGAGGCCTTGTCTCAAAATAAACTGAAGAGCTGGGCCCTTGAGTTTCCCCATGCCCAACCTCCCTGCCCAAATACCTGCTCTTTGCACTGCACCAAGGCCCGCTGGATTTCATTGGGGTTCAACGCATGAGCATGAGGCAGGCAGCTTAGGGCCAACTCTGCTGCGGCCCTCACCATATTGGAGTCTCGTGCCCGAGATGCTCTATCAGCCAGGGATGCGACCTCAGGGGGTGTCAGGTGCCCATCCCAGCATTCTACCAATATAGTCAGGGCTGCACTGCCAATCTCCATTGCCTGCCCTTTGGGGAAAGAAGAGAAGAGTGAAGTAGTTTGGTGTGGGCACCAGTGGGGCATATGGATGATGTCTGATCAGATCAATAATGCCACCAAAGACCCTTTTCTCCAGTTAGTCCCTCTCCCATACCCAAATCAGGACATTGGTTTTACCTGTAATCCAGGAAACGTGGGAGGAATAGGTACGTGAGAGCCAGTTTGGAGAAACAAAGTTGTGCAGGCCGAGGGCATAAAGCCCAATTTCGAAGGCGCAAAGGTGCAGGTTGCGATGAGGACCCTGGTGGCCCCCTGAGGAAGATGGATGTGTAAAAATGGAAGTGCTGCTGTTGCCCCCTGCCTTGATCAGCACTGTCTTCGCCAGCTCGAAATAGAAGTGTGCAGCTGCCTCTGATGGCTGATTGGGTACATGGGGGGCATGACTCTCGGGGCGCCGGCCCTTGTACCTGAAGGGGCAATGGGGTAGGGACAGGTTTGTGATTTTTTTCAAGTAGGTGTCTAGGTAGGTAGGGAAAGACCAAGGTGAGGAATTGGGGAAGAGTGGCTGGCTACCACTAGGTCAGTGGCTCTGAGAGTGGGCTGGGTCAGAGGAGCGGGGTGGTTCTTCCCACTGACCTGCCCACTTCAACTGTCTTTGCTCGGGCCCCTCCACTGGCACTGGCTCGGCGACTTCCACTGGAGGATGAGGAACCCAGTGAGTCCGATGAGGAGCTGCTAATGCTGTCACTGTCTTGTCCTCGACCCCAAGAAGTGGGGGCCCAGCCTCCTCGCAGTGGTCTCCGGCTCAAGGTGGGGGAGCTATCCGATGTTGTTTCTGGGGCACTGCTGTCAATGCTGGCCATGCCTGAGTCCCCCAAGAGAAAATCAGTCTCAGGAGTTCCTGCAATCAGACCCCAATCTGCAGGAATGTCCTGCCTCCATACCATCTCAAGGGGTACCTCACCTGTGTGCTTCTTTTTGGGCCTCCCTGGAGATCCCCAGCCCCGTCCATTATAGCCTCCACGACTACCGAGTGCCAGACGACTGGGAACCTTCCCCTCTTGCCTTGGGGTCAAAGCTGCCTCAGGTGGGAGACCATCACAGGGAGAATGTGGAGAGCTTTCTAGGTAACAAAATTAGACACTGGGATGAGCCCAG